TGCTAACTCGAGCTCTACAGAGTTTGTTCTAAGTAAAGTATCTCCACCTCTCACTATCTTCTCCATCGCCCAGCTCACTTGTCTTGACGTCCTCAGCTCTGAGCACAACACCCTGCGCTTTGTCCCTCCTTCGATTTTCCAGCTTCATCCACCCGCCTAGCCACAATGTAAAGCAAATACACGTAACATTACATGCCGCCGTTGCATACAGCGTTGGCAAATACTTGGGTGCGTACTCCTGTCTGAAGGTCGCGGCGGAAACGATACCCCCAAGGTTTCCGAGCCCAACCATGAGACCTGTTGTCGCAGCGCGAGCATTCTCGTTGAGGTTGTTGTTGTTATGCCACGAGTGCACGAGACAAGAAGGGACGTATGCTCCCGCACAAAGCAAGAAGCAGGCGAAGTATGCGACGGCTTTGTTGCCGAGAACATCGACCGTGGCGAGGATGACAAGTCCGACGAGAGAGATGCACAGGGCGCCACAGATGTGGAAAGTGCGTTCCCGGAAGAAATCACTGCTATAAGTTATGCAGAGCAAGATGAAAAATCCCACAGCATTGGGCGCCACGGTCCAAAGATTGGTTTTGACAACAGAATATCCGAGTCGCTGGACAATCTGAGGCAAAAAGTTCGACGTCGTGCTGAAAGCGACAGGGTAGGTGAAAGCGACGACACACCAGGGAAGCATTTTCCATGTGTTCCACTCTTTGAAACACTCTCGCATGTTGAATTCGTGAGAACCGGATGAAGACAGATCGCGCAATGTGCGACGTTCAGCCACAGCACGTTCCGCATCGTTCAAGAACCAGGCTGATTGAGGGGTTGCCGGTAACCAAGCGTATGCTATCAGAGCGAGCACCACCGTAAGTGTCCCCTCGATGATGAAGAGAAACTTCCAGCCTGGGATCTGAGCATGGTCAATCTGGAAGACGCCAAAGGAAATTAGACCACTGAAAGCCCCCGCGAGAAGTGCACTACCGAAGAAAAGCGCAATGCGAAAGCCGAGTTCGCCACGCGTGTAGAACAAAGTGAGGTAGAAGACGACGCCTGCGAAGAAGCCGGCTTCAAAAGCACCAAGCAGAATGCGTATAACGAGCATTCCAGCGAAGTTATGTGCTGCACATTGGAGGAGGGCCATCGCACCCCATCCCACCATCACTACAATTGATTGTTAGTCGATGTCTTATTTAGCTAATGGTGCTGGAACGCGAGGATATCGACTTACAGGATGGAAGCATGACCCTACCACTCCACTTCTTCGTCAACATATTAAGCGGAAGATCGCACAGTCCATTTGGGATGTAGAACAGCAGGATCAACAAGCTATACTGTTCGCCGGTAAAGCCAAGATCTTTGTCCATACCATCCGTTTTCGCATTTCCCAGGTTCGAACGGTCAACACTTTGGTCGAGTCAACTAGCTGTATAGAACAGAGGTGGGTTTCAAGGAAGTGAACTTGCCTATTGAAAAAATACATGACTGAGAGAAAAGGCAAAAGGTAAAAGTCTAGTTTTCGGACTACACGACATGTCAGAACATGATCATTGCTCGATAGCCTGGGAACGCCATACCGTAATTGCTCTCAGCCTTCTTGTCAATGACATCAGTTATCATACCGGCTTCTTCCTTCGAGAAGCTGGACTCTGATAGTCTCTGAGCCTTTTCATCCGCCATGGTGATGTTTCTCTGCTGTTCGATCGACATGGTGTATGGCGCCTCGGGGCAACTGTGAAACTGAAGCAATTGCGGATATTGCACAAAGTGTCGGGTGCACGCTGTGTTCGACTGGATTTAAGAAAAAACAATATAGTCCGTCTTTAAGTAGCGTGCTGTCATATCACCTCCCGCCCTTTACGTGGGTATGTATCACACGCCTCGTAACCTCCCATTCTTGACCCCAGTCTGCATGCATCTCTGTTGCATAACGCTGGCTAGGCACATCGGCAGCGCAGCACATAGCGGCATTGTTCGAGATGAGTCGCATATCTTAGAGCGAAGGATTACACTCAACAAGGTCATCATTGATAGGATGATAGCCAGAGCGAGGAGATGTTGATAAGAGTGGGGGAACTGCTGTGTGCATGACATTGGCTAGCTGCAGCGGAAATATGCGGAAATAAGCATGTAAGAGAATGAGTCTTCGTTGTATCACACCTACAATACTAAGCCTTGATGGAAAGATTACACGACGTTGTATGAACAAGATTTTCAGAATCGGTGTATGTGTGTGTCAAGTGCGAGAACGGAAAGGCGTGAGGTCGTTAAGACAAGAACACTGCTAAGTCATACATCTATTTGCGTGAAGCCAATACCCTGACCTCTCCTTGGAACTCCAAAGCCATGCACACAAAACCGAAAACAACCAACATGACCGAATATGTAGACTTTTATGTGTCTTTCAGAAATTGCTCATAGTACTGGTCCATCCATTGCACAGCAGCCATGCCATTCTCCTTGGTGCCATCAACGAATCTCCGCACTGTGCCGACATAGCCATCTGGACGTACGTTGACCACAACAACCTCCTTCTCATCAAGTCCATCAAGCCACTTGTCCATGCATGTTTGCTTTCGCGTGTCCTTCTCGGGAATGTCATCGAGATACAACGTGAACGCAGACTCACGAAGTACCGCTGGTAGATCCCGTATCTCGAAGTTGTTGCGATCCTCGTCGGTCACCAAGGCATAGGTAAAGACACCGCTGACGGGCGTGTACCGTTCAGGAAGGACGAATTGATCGTGAGGTGCTGCGAGAGGTGGCTGGACAGTATACGAGGCGTTACCAGCAGCCGTGACACGCCCAACGTACGAGCTGTTTCCTGAATGCGCGTGGCAAACTGTCTCTAAGAAGGGCATCGACGTGCGGATATTGTGAGTGAAGAAGTAAATACGAAATTGACCAAGCGCAGGAATGTCGGTTTGGACATCGACTGGGTTGGCATCGATGTAGCGCGTAACCTTTGCAGGTGGCAGTAGGTAGCCTGGCTTCAGATGACCTCTGTTGTAACCTTTCGCTTGAACGTTGAGGGTGTTTAGGTCGTAGCTAACGCCATAGCCAGAAATAAATGCGACGTTCTTCGTGAAATTTGCCGCAAGCGCTGCGGGGTCTCCGTCATGGAAGGCATTCGCGTGCTCGTAGTCAAAGTCGATCAAATCCTTCGCGATTTTCTGTCGTTCTTGCTCGTAGGAGTCGAGTAACGCAGGCTTCGCAAGACCACGCGTTGCAAAGTTGAGTTTCCAGGCCAGATTCCAGGCATCTAAAGATATCAAAGTACCAAGTCAGTGTATGTCTCACAGGCGGGTCCGTACAGGGGAGATCTACCATGCATTGATGTGTTCATTCCCTGTGCTGCCTTGGGGGAATGGGTGTGACTAGCATCACCAGCAATGAAAACCCGTCGCTCGTCGTCTGCAAAGCGCGCTGCGACTCGCTGTCCGATCTTGTAGCGCCCGAACCACTCAACGTTCTTCCACTCGAGCCTGTATGGCTGCAGTATCGCCTGCGCTCGCTTTTGCACGAACTCTTGTGTGGTTTGCTGCGCTCCAATCGCCTCTGTTGATCCTGGCCGCAGTTCTATGTAGAGACGGGTCAAACCCCTCTCGCGAGGAATCATCAGTACGGAGCCTAACGCATCCGACTGGATGACTACTTTACTCCAGATATCGGGAAAGTCGGTATCGAGCACACCGTCCAGTACACCCCACACAGCATCGGTCGATGATCCCACAGGAGTCGCACCTGGTATTGTCTTTCTCACTTTGGAGTGGGCGCCGTCGCATCCAACTATGTATCGCGTGGCAAAAGTCTTCTTTGCGTGGTTGACATCTTGTTGACAATTGACGGTAAGTGGACGGATAGACATGGGCGTGTAGTCAAAGTCGACAAAGGCCGTGTTCCGGGAGACAACAACGCCTCTTTCCCGCAGATCGTCTTCCAAAACGCCTTCTACCATGCCCTGGTGTACCAACAGTATGTATGGGTCAAGCAAGTCGACTACGGGCGGGTAGTGAATCTCGCGACCAGTGCGGTGGAGCGACTTCTCGGCAGACGACTTCCAGAAAGCGATGTCATAGATCTTGACACCCTTGCGTAGCAGCGGCTCAGCGATTCGCATCTGGCGCAAAGTCTCGATGGTCTTTGGCTGGATCCCGTCGGCGCGTCCCGTTGAAGTGCGGTCCGGTCGGTCGTCGATGATGCGGGCTTTGATACCATATCGTACCAGGTTGTCACTGTTGGTGTCAGATTGCTCTTTCCACTCGGCATGACATGACATACGCAAGCATCAGACCAGCCGGTCCGGCGCCGACTACCATGACATCGCTCATGAAGCTGGAGTAGTCATCGTTCTTGGTGTAAGAGAACTGCGACGCGACCTCCAAGCTACTTCCCGATGAACGGGACTCGGTGTCTGGGATTGCAATACCGGGTGCCATCTTCTGTCTTACCGATGACGGCGGGCTGTTGGACGTTGAACGCTTCATGAGGTTCCATAACGAAGGAGCCATGCTATAAAGTCAATTGTTGTCAGGGACGGCCAGCCACTAGGAGCAAAGATGGGGGTCCGCAGGTACGTGGGAAGGATGGAGGGGCACCGTCCGATTGTCTGTCGAGCATGCGTCCATTTTCAACCCATTGAAGAATGCCATGGCGTCTGGGAAAGTGCGTCAACGTGCTGCTGCATGCGAAAATGTTTTCGGTGATGGGGTGATGCGACGCAAGGGGTCGCAAGAGACGCATGCACTCCGCCGTGAACGCGTTCAGTCCAGCGGGTGGGAAGTGCGCTCCCGTCCACCTCGGCATCCCTGCATCGTTTCCCCCACCGTTGACCAGCAATACGGTTGGCCTCCAAGGAGTATCAGAAGCCGATGGGTCTGCAGATGCCGCTATCTATACCACGTCGACGTTGTGTACCTGTTTTAGGCTCGCGGGCGCTGTTGATGTGTGCATGATTGATTTCTAGACCTTCAGAGCTGTCTTCTAGCATCACATCTACAGTCAACATGACGTGTTCTGAGTTGCCACAATGGTTGCAGACAGCCACGAAGAAGCGAACAACACGGGACAATGCCATTCAGAGATTCACCAATGCTCAGGCAACGCCAACCGAGGTACAATGCGCCCGAGTGCAGCAAAGTCACACATTAACAACGCCAGCAACCCCACGGAAACCACGAACCCCGAAGCGATCAAACATTGACGGCCATCGATGATGCCCAAATCGTTCCAAAGGCCATTCTGTCGCGTGCTGTGACGGCATCGCAGCTGCTTTCTGCCTACATCAACCGGTGAGGTCCGCGGCTTGCTCTGCTATCATACCATTCTCACGCCACATCTTCCAGCGCTATAGACGCCCACCAACGAGTACGGTGCCCCACTTCTATCCCAAGCTTCGGACTTTAGTCCCTGAATGTCGCTAACATCTACCCAAGACGAACTGGCACGTGCACAATCGTAGCCCTACCCGCACCATGGAGCACTTGCTGACTTGCGCAGCCTTACCGAGATTCTCTTCGACGATGCGATTCAGCAGGCGAAAGCACTGGACAGCTACTTTGGCGAAACTGGTCAGCTTCTGGGACCCCTCCACGGGGTACCCATGACGCTCAAGGACCAGTTTGATGTCAAGGGCTACGACAGCACTCTAGGCTATGTTGGGCGCGCTTTCAAGCCGGCCCAACAAGATTGCGTGCTGGTATCTTTGTTGAAAGAGATGGGCGCAATCATTATTGCAAAGTCCAATCTGCCACAGAGTATAATGGTATGTCATGCCACAATTTTCATGTATGGATGGTAGTTGGATGCTGAAGCTTTCTAGTGGTGTGAAACCGACAATCCCTTGTGGGGCCTCACCGTTCATCCGAAGAACCCCGACTTTACGTCTGGTGGCTCAACTGGCGGAGAGGCTGCGCTTTTGTCGCTCCAGGGCACTGTGGTCGGCTGGGGTACGGATATTGGAGGTAGCGTGCGGATACCCTCTCACATGAATGGCCTGTACGCACTGAAGCCTAGTAGCACACGCCTGCCGTACCAAGGAGTATCCGTGTCGACCGATGGTCAAGAGCATGTTCCATCCGTAATTGGGCCAATGACACGGAACATGAACTCGCTGACGGCAGTCACCAAAGCTGTCATCGATGCAACTCCTTGGGAACAAGATCCAAAGTGCTGCCCAGTGCCGTGGCGGTCAGAAGCCTATGAAGGTGCACGTTTGAAACCACTGGTGGTCGCTATCATGCGGGATGATGGGGTTGTGAAATGCCATCCACCTATTGCCCGCGTACTAACTGAAGTCGCCATGAAGCTTGAGAAAGCTGGACATGAAGTGATCGAGTGGGCTCCGGGTAGCCTTCATCAAGAGTGTATTGACATCATGGTAAATATCAAGACAAATCATTCACTTCCAAACTGACCAGGGTCAGGATCAGTACTACACTGCAGACGGTGGCGAGGACATTCGACGAGACGTTGCCACTGGCGGAGAACCATTCATTCCGCACGTAGAAGCTCTTGTCAACAAAGGCAAGGCGATCTCGGTTTATGATTATTGGCAGTTGAACAAGATGAAGCTTGGATTGCAGAAGCGCTACCTCGATCTCTGGAACTCAACAAAGTCTGCCAGTTCTGGCAAATCAATCGACGTCCTTCTTACACCTGTCATGCCTCATTCTGCTGTCCCTCATCGAAAATGCAAGTGGGTCGGATATACAAAGGTGTTCAACTTCATCGACTATCCGGCTGTCGTCCTGCCTGCTGGTCAAGTTTCGAAAACCCTTGATGGAGAAGCTGCGAGGAGGATGAGCGAATACGAGCCAAGGAATGCAATGGACGACTGGAATTGGCAGACGTTTGATTTGGATGGCATGGATGGTATGCCAATAGGTGTGCAGGTTGTAGCTCGAAGACTGCAGGAGGAGAAGGCTCTGGGTGCGGCCGCAGCCATCGACGACATACTGAAGAAGCAGGCCTAGGCCAGTTCCTGTGATATCCCATGGAATTTCGGGTATGCAGTCTTCTGAACATCACGTGCCATCTGCCTGTTCACTCTCGTAGTTGTTTTTGCCGTCCGAATGCCTTGACGTATCCCAATCTGCATAACATCCCAGGTCCCAATGTTGAAAACATTGAACAAAATTCTGTGAAATGGGCTAATGCGCACGTGTGCACGCGAACACGCGTCGATAAGACCCTCAGCAGCCGCCGGCAGGTACGATGAATCATAGGATCCCCCCACCTTCCATTTAAGCAATCGACTTCATCAAGTGGGTTACCCTGCATCAACAATCCCGAAGATAAGCGGGGTAGCTACACGTGCTATCATGAGCTATGCGACTGTCGTTCTTGCTGCACGTTCGGGCCAAACCTTACATCGACTCTTTCTACCTTTACAACTACGTTATTTTCCACCAGGCTGCGGCATTGCTGAATCTTGAACGTTAAGCATCATGGGAAAGAAGAAGGTTCTCGTCAGCTATGGTGTTGACATTGACGTAAGACATCCTATACGTAGTGAGCATGAACGTGGTCACTGACTGGGCGATTCACAGGCTGTTGCTGGTTGGCTTGGTTCGTACGGGGGTGAAGACTCCACAAGCGACATCAGCAGAGGCCAGTATTCCTTCTGAGACAAGAATTCTGACAGTAGCTTACAGAGCACAGGTCTCTGGGCTGGGACGATAGGAACCCAACGCCTGCTGAAGCTCTTCGACAAATACGGGATCAAAGCAACATGGTTCATCGTAAATTCCACATTTCCATGAAACCGATGTGTCTCGCTGACGTTTTACAGCCAGGTCACTCTCTTGATACTTTTCCCGAAGACTGCGCCGCCGTGCGGGATGCGGGCCACGAAATCGGGCTCCACGGTTACTCACATGAAAACCCTGCCGACATGACCTTCGAGCAACAGCGCGACGTTCTCGATAAGACCTATAAGCAACTCACTGCTTTCTGTCATGGCAAACCTCCACGCGGTTCTGTAGCTCCATGGTGGGAAACTTCGAAGGAAGGCACGGAGCTTCTCCTCAGCTACGGCATCGAATATGATCACTCCATGTCGCATGAAGACCATCGCTGCTATTGGTTGCGTACGGGCGATGAGTGGACGAAAATAGATTACAGCAAGAAAGCAGTAGACTGGATGAAGCCCCTTACCAAGGGGCAAGAGACTGGACTGGTGGAGATACCGGGGAGCTGGTATATCGACGATTTGCCGCCGATGATGTTCATGAAGAAGAGTGCAAACAGCCACGGATGGGTGAATCCAAGGGACGTGGAGCAAATATGGATGGACCACTTCGACTACTTTTATCGCGAGTACGACGAATTCGTCTTTCCCATGACAATTCATCCCGATGTTAGTGGAAGGCCACATGTCGTGCTTATGCATGAGAGGTACGTTCAGCGTGGAATTGTATCATTGACAAGGGCGCTGACTAGGATTACAGAATTATCGAGCATATCAACAAACATGAGGGTGTTGAGTGGGTGACAATGGAACAGATGGCGGACGACTTTAAGAAGAACAACAAGGTGCCGGAGAACGCGATGATGCCGTCGCCGCGTGGTGAGATTCTCAAGCTACAGAAGGAAGGGAAGGCGTATTCACTACTCGATTACGATGGACCAATGCCTCAATAGCGATGATAGAGAAGCCAACGAGTTGCGAATGTCACTAGTCTTTCCGTCATTGTCTGCGTTGGTATGTACACCGTCTACGTTCTCGCCTGCCTATCTCGGAATGATCGGAACACATATCGGAAGCTCAAGCTCGGAGCTATGGCCACCGCGTTACTGCTACTGCATACCCCTCACGCCAGCCACGTTCTATCCATCTACCATCATCTTTTCCCCCACTCTTGCACACGTGCATCAATGCCCGTCAGTAGACGCAATCACACTTGCGTACCCACCAATCGAGTATTCCCCCATTCTGGTTCTGAACCACACCATGTCCTCGGGATGCCAGACTAGCTCGATAAGCGCCAATGCCATGGCGTCGCGCATCGGTCCAGTAATCGTCAGCTAGCCAGCTGTCACGCGTATGGGTCGCGATAGGTGGGCGAAGATGGTGGTACGTGATGCCATTCAAGTAGTGACTGTGTACTTGAAATGTTTACAGGCTTGATGGACGACAAACCGCTACACTAGCATTTGCTTTTTTCTTCGTCATCGACTGTGAGGTTTGCTTTCTTTCTCAGACAGCATTATACTCGTGACATCATGGCCGGCGTCAAACCTCAGGTTATTCAGAAGCAGCATAGGGATGAGTCCAGTAGGCTCGATGTAACCTCTCCCTCCTAAACTTCTCGTGCTTCGACTGACGCTCATCGATAGGTCATCATTGTTGGCGCCGGTCTAGGTGGTCTTGGGGCTGCCATATCAATTCTCCTCGCCGGTCACAACGTTCACATCCTCGAATCTACTCCCGAGATAGGCGAAATCGGCGCTGGGATCCAGTGTTTACCCAACTCCTCGCGCGTCCTCATCTCTTGGGGTCTAGAAGAATACCTCTCGAAACATGCTACTTCGCCACGGCTGTGCAACATGATCGGCTGGAAGGGCAACAAGATAAGCGATATGGATTTCCATGAGTATGAAAAGGAGTGTGGTACACCCTTCTGGGATTTCCATAGAGCGAATCTGCACATGGGGCTACTGGAGCGGGCTGTGGAGCTTGGTGCTAAGCTCACTACAAAAGCGCGGGTGGTAGACATTGAGTATGAAGAGGATGTCAGCGGCAACGCTACGAGTGCCATTGCCATCTGCCAGGACGGGACACGATACAAGGCCGACTTGGTAGTCGGCGCCGATGGCATCAACTCCAAGTGTAGGGAGATATTACTAGGCCATGAAGACCCACCTCTGCTCACTGGCGATCTGGCTTACCGGTTGTTACTCAATACAGAAGATATGTTGAAGGACCCTGACCTCAGGGGCTTCGTAGAAGACCCGCAGGTCAACTATTGGATAGGTCCAGATGCGCACGCTGTCAACTACGTCCTCCGTGGTGGCAAGCTGTTCAACATGGTGCTATTGGTACCAGACGATATGCCTGCTGGTGCAAACACATTGGCTGGGAATGTTGAAGAAATGCGTGCTCTGTACAAAGACTGGGATCCGCGGATTCCAAAGTTGCTGGCACTTTGCCAGTCGGTAGCCAAGTGGCGTCTGATGATCCGACCAGGTCTCGATCCCACATGGTCTCACGAAACTGGAGCATACACAATACTCGGCGACGCTGCGCATGCCACTCTCCCATATCTCGCTTCAGGTGCTGGCATGTCGTTGGAAGACGGACACGTCCTCGGTCTATGTCTAGGCAGGATCAGGAGCAAATCTATGGCCGAAAAGAAGCGTGCATTGGCCGTCTATGAGCGCTGTCGTCGTGAGCGCACTGAGCGAGTCGTTTCACGCGGTAATCGTCAACAGTACCTCTACCATGTCCACGATGGTCCTGTGCAGCAAGATCGTGATCACATGCTTCGCGCTTTTGGTGAATATAATGGCAAGGGGAGGGTGAGCCAAGAGCAGTACGAGGAGAAGGGATTGAACGTGGGCGACGATCCTTTAGCATGGAGATGGGGTGGTGTCGGAAGCTGGCTCATTACATATGTCTGTGAAGAGGATGTTGACGTTCGGTGGAGGGAGTATGAAAACGAGAAGAGAACCGAGGCTAGAGGAAGCGGTGAGTTAAGGGCTGTATTGTAGAGTATTCTGAAAATGAATGGGTTACTTAAAGTCTCTAGCTTCGAAGACGGAGCTACATAACCAGTCCACGCAAGTTAATTCAGTTGCGTACTTCATATTATGCTTCAGTGACTACTGCGACGTACCAATGGCTTATTCACCACAAGTCTAGCACAAAATCTCAAGACCACTTGCCATATTTCATTTCGAAGAAACATGCGCAATACTAGCTGGCGCCACTGACGGCAGGGTATTGCATGGGCTTGCAGGCATCAGCGCCACTACATCGCCATGCACAGCCGCAGGCACTTAAATCGTCCGGGTAAGAAGAAGGCAGACACACCACGTCAGTTCACTCCAGGTAAAATCATCTACATGGCATTAAGTGACTTACGTGTCAGGCTCCTGATCTCGCCCTGAAAACGACGTGGCGGTTCAGCACTGGTATACATGCACAAGGCTGACCCTTCTACCTCCGCCTCGTTTGAAGTGGGGTGCTCAGTTGACGCTGCCGATATGCAGTAAGAGAAAGGCAGTACTTCGCAGCAACTCATCGTTGCCCAAACAGTGAGGCGATCGAGCAATTGCTATGAAGACTGATGCCCAACGTGGTTGGTATAACATGACGCACCGTGCCGGCGGCTTTCTGGTTCATGTTAGCTCCCGTTCACTATGTTGTGCCCTGTGGGGCACAGTCTCTAAGTACGAGATGCTGTTGTACCGCCACAACATATCGAATCCCATCCCCGCTCAGCCACGACTACCCGCTCGCCGAGGGCAGCCCTACCCGCCATAGGCATCACAGACGTTATTCCTCGCCAGCTGCGCGATCAGCCCTGCTCAGTAACCGGTAATTGCGCGATGAAACGGGTAGCTGAAGTCGACCCAGATGCCTGGCGGAACCGGAGGCACTCTCCCCGCCTGTGCGACATCGTTACAAAGGACTAGAGTAGGCAGACGTTCTAGGGTGATCCCAGGCGATCTTCAAGACAACCTGATCCGATTCTGTCACCATAGACTCGCCAACGCGTAGCCCACGTCGAGACAAGACAGGATTCGTTCCCGAGGCCTCCCTCTCGAGTTTTGTATGCCGCCTTCGGCGCTATCTGCCCTTCTCGAGGACTTGGGATTCGTCCACGTATTATCAGGACCGGTGAGCCAGAAGGCAACTAGTCGTCAGCACATCGTGGTAACGAGGCAACCAATACAGCCCAATTATGAGTGGATAGCATCCAGCGAGATAGCGATATCGCACCACTGCTCTCGCCTCAAAATACGTCTGGTTATGCGTTGTCCCCACGAGGCACATATGATGAGTTGTCGGGGTTCTAGGTCACTCTTCGATTACGGCGGCCGTCGAGCGTCTAATAGCAACGAGCTTTTTGGTCCTTATTCACCCGGTCAAAAAGCACTGATTGATCGACTTCCAATCTTTAGATGGACTTACAATCGCGCGCTTCATTTTGTGCATCCTAGTATCCTATCGATCCTAGACAGGTTGTCAGACGCGATTTAGGCCTACGATGCAAACATGATGCCAGTACAGAATACTCGATCGTACAGGACCACATATGGCTTTGGAGATGAGGTGAGTAGAACGACAGAGATCTCTTCAAAATTTGGTCCAGAATATTGGCGTTGCTTGCTGGGCTGACTCTGTAGCAGAGCAATTCAAATGATCCGAATGACGAGACGTACCTAGCCTCACACACCGCTGACGAGCGCACACTTGCGTGGGCCTACCAATCAGACTCATTACCATCAGAAGAGATCGCTGCCTATATTTGGCCGCCTTCAGTCTATGAAGCAGCACAGGATGTCTACCTAGCATCTTTGCCACCAAGGAATTCTCAACTTCCTATCGATCATCACACGATATCTGTAGGAGAGTCCTGGCAACCATCGCTTGCGGCAACCTCCTGTTATTCAGACCGGAGGCGGCATCTCGAACAGCAGCAGGTGAGCAGCATGAACATACCGGACGGCAGATATCTTTCAACATGGAACTCTACGGATTTGGGACCAGAGTCAACGACAGGGAACCCAACACCTCCAACTTCGGATACCGCCAACAATAAGGAAGATAATAGCTCGAATATAACCAGGTGAGTAGGCTAAAAGACTTCATTCATGAACATTGCTGACCTATGTGAAGCGACAAGTCAAGTCTGCGCTGTTCTGTCTGCGTAGATAAGCCGCTATTCACTGGTCAATACGCACAGAGAAACCTGAATCGTCATATGGCCAGACACGAGCCCTGCCTAGGACAGAGAAGCAACAGACATATCCGTTGCGAGCAACCAGGATGCACATCGACATTTGGGCGTGAAGACGCACTGCTCGTCCACCTCCGGCGAAGCCATCCGGAGCTGAATACCCCACCGGCAAAAAAGCGGAAAAGGTGATGCCAGACCCTGGATCCAGCTTGTATCTGTTCCGGAACTCTGAATGTCGTTGCTAGAGAGCCTTTTTGCGGGTTGATGAGTTGCGTTCTCAGGCGTTCCTTTGGTGTTCGGTTTTCGCTTCGTGTACAAGAAAAGACAAAAGATTTACGTGCTCATAGGCCTTGCACGCTGATTGATCACTTGTACTACTACTCTGTAATCCCATGATGTCAAAACAAAGTTAGCGTAACGTTGCCTCTTGATCATCGATTGCTGGTACGACAAGCTCACTCCATACTATCCAAAGCACCTATTATTATAGGCTAACCTATCCAATGATGGATCATAGCTGCATCGAAGCTACGTGCTAACGACCCGGGGCTCAATCATCCGAAGAGCCTTAGGTAATGTCGTCTACTCGACAGCAGATGTATTGGTTCCCGGTTACAATAGTGGAAGTTTTCTTCTTCCGGTGCGACAGGCTGGCCCAGGCAGGCCTCAATGTCAGTGCGACGAAAACTGCCTATCGTAGGACAGCTTGTGCAAGGTTCTGGATCGACCCGCGAGGGTGATCTGAGTAGCCTCTAGCTGCTGTTGCATTAGAGTCTACTAGCTTCCTCTTAAGGGTCTTGCGCGAAAGTCACCACGGTTGATCAGATCTGTTCATGCATCTGCTGCCGACGGTGGCGGGGGCTAGCGGCGGGCGATTCGACACCAAATCCTCCAAGCGCATTGACTACCTTAGCAACATGGTCGATAAGCACTGCTGACTTGCAAGTCTATTCTCAGTCGTCGGGATTTGTAGTCCCGCATCTCATAGCAGACACTGTAGTAATTACCTTCTAACAATGGCAGATGTGTATATCTAATATGCTCATGTGCACACCGCTTCTTCTTATGTGACGTCCTTCTAGAACTTGTCCCGATGCAATGCATTGCAGACTGTCGACGACGAGTATAGTTGCTCTTTTGAGGGGTAAGGGAGACTCAGCAGGTATCAAGAGTAATATAGTCGATTTCCCGCTGCCAATATATCAGAAGTCCCTGTCGCTGCCGATCTCAGCCAATACGTACAAGCCATCCATGCGCGTATCGCACCATGTAACGGGAACCTTGTCCACGATAGTACTGCGTTTTGGAGCAAATTCACACAGATGTGAGCCAACGCATGCCGAAATGGGACAAGAACCGTGGCCTTTTTCACGACCTGAACCTCAGGTGTATGTTGGCTTCCGCTAGCCAGATTTCATTTTTAACGAGTGATGTTTACATGCAGCCATGTTCGTCATCACCATAAAGAAATTTAGGTGTGGGAGAGTGTGAACGTTTTTCTTTGTTCCATAGGGCTGGGTCAAGACCATTGCTTTGAAACCAAGTGGTTGGGTACGTGTTCTTGTAGCGGCTATGAATTGAACCACATTATCCAGGAGACCATTGCTCAGCAGGGTGCCCCTCTGAAATTGCGTTCTCCGAGCCCTTACAGCCTGTACACATCGATGTTCGTTGGGTAGCGAAGATGGGCGTCTGACTCGAGTCTTGACATTTAGTCACATATTCGTCTCCGTACAATCCAGAGTCTTTCTCTTTGCTGGCATTGTTCCTCTCGAGATATACTCCATCGTGTGGGAAAAAACTCCCTGCCGAAAGGGAAACCGTCGGGCCGGTCGGATTTATCGGTAAGGTATCGAAGAGCGAAAGAAAGTTCCACTAATAGCCGGCGCTGCGCCGGTCGCGAGCCGTCCCGTCAATCCACTTTGTCTTGCAAGAAAGCGTTCTCGATATTGTAATGCATGTGTTCGAACAGGAGAGCCCTTGTTAAACTTCCAACGTTGGCGGAGCGCCACGCAGCTTCGTATTCGTCACAAACCCGCTGCAAGTCAGACGCGCAGGAAGCGCAAAACGTGACGGCATGGGTGAACAAGGCTAGAACATATGACTTACTCGCCCGTTTCGCCCGTCATTATGCTTGTTACTGGTACCCGGGATACCGACAGGATACCGACAGGATAGCTCTGAAGGTCTCTGGAGATTTGCGGGAACTATGCTTTCGATGAGCTGGTGAAGTGACTATCTGAATCCTCAGGCATAGCTATACCTGCTCGTTGGCTTGAGAAGTCGAGTGCCTTGTAGTCCTCGGCGATGTTAGTGCGCATTGACCTTCAATGACGGGAAGGTGCCGGACGAGTGTGTGGGTGACCAGGTGTGCACATGGCATCAGTGTATCCCAGCAGAGTTGGCCGTATCTGCACGTCTTAGGACATTTGCCTGCTTCCTAGGGTGGTCTTCGAAAGAGGCGTACCATTGCAGCAGCCGCAGCCGCGCGCACACTGCAATTTTGAAGTGCACCTTAGGCGGCAAAGGCCATGGCATAGAGGCCAACGACGCTTCTCATGCGCTGTGCCACATCCGGTGCCGCTCTGGCATAGCTGATTGGCGTGAAAACCAGCTAAGAAGTGTCGCACAATCCCTCGCCCTTTAAGCTGAGACGCAGCTATGTTGATAGGGCAGATCAGCGTTCCGGTTTGACAGACAAATACACGGTGAGGCGCGATATGCCCTGGTGTTGACCTTTCCGGACCGCTCGTGCAACAGGCTGTCGTATCTCAGCCGAGGGTCCTCCAACGTCTGCAGCGTGCCTCCTAAACCACTCGTTACTAAGTACGTATAGCAGGATAAACACTGTGCGTATCCTGGGTTACTCGAGAATCCATTCTTATGTTGCTCATTCCTCTTTGCATTTCATAAACGCGGACCTGTAAGCCGTCTTCCATAAATTGATTCTTCGCCGAAGAGTGGGAAACTGACAAAGACATAGCGCACGCAGGTGCTTCGCTTGTTGACAGTTGGCTTAGCGACCACTAAAACCAGCTTCGCGTCATCTTATGGGAGCCATCAGGATCATATTGTTGAAGAGGTTGTTCTGCTTTGTACGTCTGTACGGGCAAAGTCTTCTCAGATAATTTCCAAGACGGTCTCGGGTAACCTTGACTCCATGGCGTACGATCAGACACAGAGGCGCGACGAGGTGCCTTGGTCACAAGAAGACAGAGAGTATAGGAGAAGAGCACCGTTCGCATTAGCAGTCGTTTGCGATAGTGGAGCGGAACAGGCAGGGAGGATAACTTCTCCTGGATCTGGATCTGAAGAGTACATTCAGCAGAGCTGGTCGCCAGTACCCGCGTATGTCCAGCCTCGCGAGGGCTACTACCACAACAGCAGCTACCAACAATCTCTCTTGCCAGGACACAACACTGTCAGTAGCAGCGCATACCAATATCGAATTAGCGCAGTAGCTGTCCCGCAGGATCGTCCAGTACCAACATTTGGTTATCCAACGCCGCAGCCCTATACTAATTCGTATCAGTACGTGCATGCCACACAATGAATGTCAGGCATCCGCTGACCAGGTCACAGATACGAAAGTACTTATTCAGCAGCTAGTTACCCAATGGATCCAGGGTACACTACCGTAGGACCGGCGCATGTGTCCCTATCGCCTTCGTGCCCTGCGCCAAGCTAGTATGTGGTACTCTCGAGACTTGCTGGCTGGTGCTGATGTTGGTGTAAAGCCAAAGCCCGCAATATTCTTATGCTGCTCCAACGGCGAACGTCTCCGTATCACCTCCAGACGTCAGATACTCCATGCCACTGGTCCAGCCACTAGAGACATCTCCGATCGATGACGAGTATAGCGTACCCTGTCCGTATCGCTGTGGCACTGTCTTAACAGGTGTACACGCATTAGGAAATCTGACGCGTCACCTCAAGACTCAGGCTTGTGCAGGATCTAGTCGGGCCAAAGTTCGATATCCATGCCCCATTGAAGGTTGTGAAAGGCAATATGCTCGATCGGATGGGCTGAGAGTCCATATGCGCAGACGACACGGTGCGCCTCCTCCCGTACCGCGAACCGATGGCATCGTGGACGATGACGAACAATAGACGAGTGTAAGAGCAACCATCCTTTTCGCGGGTCAAAGCGGGCCGGTGGAGCTGGTCCCGAGCCAGGACGAATTGTTTGGTGTGCTCTGAGTTTCTCGTCGATTAGCTCTCTCTTTCACGCGTCTTTCTGTCCTTCTCTATATCTCTTTTGTAAGATGGAAATACCTTAGAGAGGCATTTCTCGAGTAGACATCGGCATTCCTGTTGAGAAGAGTGATCTTTCTAGGTTGGTACTCGGCAGAGGGGCCGTGTCTATGTGCGTTTCCAGCTGTGAACCCGGAGAAATGCATTTAGATCTGACGTTGCCTGTTCGTGAGAGTCGTTGAAACAGGGATAGAACGCAAAAGAAGCGAGCCGTTCGTCGTCATTGAGTGCTGTCCAGCGATAGGGCGAGATGAAGATGGTCCAAAAAGCAATTTCACACGATGACTGAGGTCGGTGGCAGGCGCTGGTGCCAACGAGTCAGGATCACTTGGTCGTCTTGGGCAAGAGCGGTTAGTACATCAGTCGCGCTCCATGGTGAACTCGGTTTCAGCTGCACCCTAACGCGTTCGGGGCAGAATGTCACCAGGCATTGTTTGGGGCAACTCTCCGGAGTAATCCGTGGTTCGTCAGTTCTTGCATCTCATCTGTATAGCTTAGTGATGTACGAAGAAAGAGAAAGAGCATGTTGCTTAGCTGAACAGCCTCCTCGACTGCAACTTTTATAGAAAAGACGATGAAAAGTGTATTGCATCCATCTGAACGGAAGCTAGCTGTTTGATGTCAAGACAATGCATGCTAACACATCGAGTGCATTCGCAACCTTAGTATATGCATCTCGTCGTAAGATATTACTGGCTCTTCCTGTCACGTGCACTGCGGAGTACCAATAGCCGTTTTTCGCTACCAGAATGTTCAAGGATGGTGGTTTCCCGAAACCAACACGCGCCAGCCACGTCGTCGCGTGCCCGTGATCCAAGTTTTCCACATGCCGGAAAGACGACAGAGCTAATTGTGAGCTCCTCAGAACCGAGCCTATGCGTAACGATATTGATATTTGTCATTACTATTCTGTGTGGGTATTCTGACCACAGCATATGCGTTATAGACATTAGTCCTGCGACTCCAAGGTATGTGATAGAAAAGTAAATGCGACCGCGGCAGTGGTATAGCGTAAATGCCCAGGATCAAATTGAGATCCGATGTGCGCCAAGAAACAAAGCAAGCGAAAGAGATGCGACATCTGGTAGTCGGAATTAGTCCAAAACGGTAAACAAAAGGAACTGATGCTTCAGAGACTGGTAACTCGTGCGCCGGCTGGGGGCGCTGAGACTCTGTGTGGCCTTAGATTTATGACTGACTCCAATTCTCGCAGCATGTTGGTATTCGCGTCTCGCTGCTCACGTAACGAGGCTTGACGAGCGCGGTCGTCTTGGATCTTCTGCATGCGCTCTTCTCTCGACATTGTGGCTCGTGTCTTTGGAATGGCAATAGCTTCGAAAACTTCGTCGTCGGACGTGCTGCCCTGGTCGCTCGATGGAGCGCTCTGGTGGGGACTCAGCAGGTCGCCATTGAGAGCACGCAGAGCATCAGACGGACTGCCTTCATCCACAGCAGTCAGACCGCCTAGACTTGGAACGGGCGAGCGCAGACCGCTGGATGCTTGGGAGATTCTGCGCTCGTGCCGATCGATATTCAGGGCGAGCGCATTCTTGCCTGCCTCCCAAGCTTGCACCAAACTCTTGAGATCTGCACCGATTGAATCGTATTGTGCGAGGAGGGAGTGACCCAAGTCGGTCACGTCTTCGGTATCTTCCAAGCTCTTATTGGTCTCTTCGCGCAGTACTTGCATCTTGGCTTGCAGACCGCGAATACCGCTCGACAATCCAGACAACTTGCGCACGGAATTGCGAATCTTGTCTCGACCAGGAGTTGGTGCGGCCTTGGCCGGCGATGGGAGTACGAACTGCTCTTCTTCAGCGAGCACGCGGTTGAACTTCTCGCTCCACTCTCCGACGGGACGAGCCGTGTTCAACATGGAGTCGACCACTGTCGACCATCGCGCGAAATCGGGTTTGCCGCCATCTGCCTCCATGGCCAGGAGAGAACAGAGGTATACACGTCGTAGGATTGATAACCGATACTGCAGGATGCGCAGGACTTTTAACGTTTCGGCATCGTCGAATTCAGATTCGCTGTAGGCCAGGGCGGCCTCTTGCATGTCGGGATTGCTGATTTCGTATACGTCGAGATACTTTTCCAAATCATCTTCTTGAATTAGCTGTTTCAGATTATGGCACTGTTCAGCGAGTATGGGAACGATGTCGGCGTATGCAGCTCGGAGGTTCTTGCGCAGCCGCTGGCAGCGACGGGCCTGCCCCTTCTCTTCGATGCGGGAGATGGGAGGCAAGGGACTGCTCCTGCATGGTGTTAGCACTTGGGCTGCAGAGTTCTGGCGGAAGGCAAGGTCACGTACAGGCGATAGCCGCGTGACACGAGCTCCACTTCTTGGATCAAGGCAAGGGCAGATGACGTCGAAGCCTCGAAGGCTTGTAGGTTTGTGACCAGGTCCGAGGCGCCCTTTACGGCCTCCTGGCGCAGATACTGCAGCCACTGCCGCCGCATGTACGTGTAGCCGGCGGTAAAGACAGCAGCGAAGACCAGCATCACCAGCAGGGTTCGGCTCTTGCTGAAGACGGGCTGGCGGCGCGACCAGTGCACCAGCCATGCCAGCGCGAAGGCCGTCGTGCCCGTGGCCGCTGCGCCGATGGGGTTTATCCGGGCGACCTTGAGCTCGTGAGAGCCGGGGCGTCCGTCGGTCGCGAAGCTGGGAATGGCAGATGCGCGCAGGCCTCCTTGCTCGCCGAGCAGCTGGGAAGCGACGATGAGGTAGCGGAACTGCTCGAGGAAGCGTTCGTTGTCTGCGCGGCCGATGCGGGAGTTGACGGCTTTCTGTGTCTTGTTAACGAGCATGTACGAGACAACCAAGACGCACACGTACCGAACAGGCCGTGTGGATGCGGGCGATGGAGCCATGGCGGGCGTGGATGCGCAGCGGCTGTGGGAGCCGGTCTCTTATCCTCGACTGCAGCGTCGACGGTCCGCGGGGCGCGAAGCTCTGCGGGAAGTTGGTGGATGTCGATGTCTCGGTGTCGTGGTCGTGGTCGTGGTCGTCGTAGGGTGATGGCGCAGTGCCTTGTCCTGGACGGCGGTTAGTGCCCACGGCGCATGGCATCGTCATGGTGCTAGGGGGTAGCCCACCTTCAAGCAACTGCGCAAGAGGCGAGTCGTCGGATATCATGTTCTCCATGTCGCTACCGCCGCATGGTGCGATTTTGGCTGTCGTCGTCGGTTCCCGCTCAATCGCTTGTGATGGCTGCGGGTGCTCTAATCCGGAGACGGAAGGTGCCCGTGATATGGAGATGGCGGGGATGGCAGCTGCAGGGGCGGCGGGCGCGTGGTCGGCGTGGGGTCCAATGGTGGCCGTGGGAGACGTGGATGAGGGCGATGCAGGTCTTGTTTGTTGTGGGTAGGGCAAGCAGCTGGCAACGAGGGTTGTAGACACATGTAGTGGTTCGGTTCGGATGGTCAGCTAATAGTAGTACTAAGCTCAGGGTCCCGGGAAATGAGCCAGTAGTCTGTGATTGGCATGAAACATTCATGGGGAACGTTCGCTCGTTTACGGTTTACGCACCGGCAAACACCCCCCCCCCCCCCCCTCAGACATGTTTACCCCTTGTTCCTTGCATATGCGCGCGTAACCTCGAGGCGCAATCGTCGTGGCTGCCGTCTTTGCCAGGAAGCTGTGCATGCTCGTCGCTTTGGCCTGCATACCACTGCCTCGGCCGACGACCATCTCAGCCAACTGTGTGTCCACTGCACCCGTCGAGGACGCGCCCCTTCTTGAGCCTCCGGAGCAGCGGCGAGTCAGTCGCATAGCCTCACATATTCTCTGACCATGCCATCCTAGACGCTGGACGGACCAATGTTCCCCATCCTACCTCCGACCCATTCAATCCATACTAGTGGATTGCTCGTTGCTCGGCTGATTAGACATGCTCGGTTTTCAACACGTCCGACATGCTGCGACGAGGCTCAGGCGCTGTATACACACCGCAAGGTACGCGTGCAATCGTAATCGATAACAGCGCCGATGACGTACCTGCGGCATGGTATCTGCAGCGTGGCCGGCTTGCAGATTCCGCAAAAGCAACTCTATAGTTCCATCTCAATTCTCCGTGCTGAGCTAATCGCCATGTGGGCTTACCAAGCACGACATGGTGACCTTGTACACATTTCGAAAAGGACTGACTGTCGACAACGCTTCGCGGAACAGGACCGCAGGCGACGGAGTAACTACCTTGCATCTACAACAAGATCCCATCATCTTTCGCCTACTTGCCACCACTTCCCTCATGCTCGGATTTAGCTGCTACAGCCATGAGCATGGGGGTCGTCGCGCCATGGTACGGCTTCGGCGCAACCCGCAGACGCGCATCTAGCTACTTCTGTTTACTTGACCCAGTCTGGTCTATCCGGATAGCTTAGACAAGATTTGCTCATGACAGCGGTCAGTAGCGTTTTAACTCCAGTGTATCCGGGCACTAAGCAAGATTGCTTCGCCTGTGGCGGATACAGTCACAGGTATGAGCCGCAGCCTTCCAAGCAGGGCCGTCTATCAAACCATGTCTATGTACATGTACTTTGGATGGTTGCCTCATATACTCTATTCATCACGACTACATACGACACACGCACATTGTTTTTTCTTCTCTGGAATCCCACACTTGACATTTCTTTGCCAACATGGATGATAGCATGATACAAAGGTTGATGGAAACTGTCCAACTCATAAACACCAATCTCGATACCTCACCTGCTTCGTGGCGGGATCAACTACCAGCAATTCGCAACACGATAGTTTCTTTCGAAATAATGGATAGCGTCCCGGAAGAAGAGCGCAGGAATTGGCAGTTACCTCTTATTAGCGTCTTCCAGCGTGTAGCCTTCGCCGATGCTGATAACGGTGTCATTCAAGACTTAGCAGATTGGTGCCTGCGTCAGCTAGTGACCTTACTTCAAATATATCCCGACAATGTCGACATCCTGACTCGTAAGTGCCTTTGTGTATATATACCCATTATCGCTAATCATTATAGTAATCGGTCGAAACTGGTTGCTGAGAGCACAAAAGGCTCTGTCAAGCATTGCGCGTACAGAGAGAAATTCCTTCAGTAGCGATACAAGCAACTTTAGACTGCTAAGCTCAACAACAAGGGGGTTGGTTGAAGCTGAACAACGATTACACCAAGCAGTCTACATCGAAGCGCGAGGATTACTGTTGCCAGCCACAGACTATCTCCAGCGTGCGGTATACGTAGCAACAGAACAGGGCGTCGTTACTGGACATCTCCTGTCTATGGTGAGTAAAGCCTCGGCCAATAGCTCGTCTCGTTAACCTTGTGTAGGCCGCCGAGGCGTTTATGAGCCTTGGGAACATCACATCCGTCATGGCGAACGGTCGGTATTTCCAACAAGCAATTGCTTATTTACGAGCCGCAAGAGATACCCCGAACTACTTCCTATCACCGCATCTGGAACAGTAAGGACTTGGTCTACACGATAGAGCGACGGAATAAGCTGACACGCCAAGGTATCTGGACGGGTACGGGCCTCTCTATGACGACGTGTGAGTGGAACTAGTAGAAAGTCTCTAGCTAGCAGGTACACCATAATGGACATGTTCTCGAATCACGATACCTTGCATGTCGATGCATGTTGGCAGGCGCTCAGAAGGTTGGGCAGGATGCTGTCAGGGTCTCGGCACGGACCACAACCCACTTCCGTGCATCCAACACCGTCACCCCATAACGAGAGGTATCACAAGCAGCCAACATAGCGTCACCGCACATCTTGGAGCCTTTCCGGAAGTCCCGCTCTCGTCGCAAACATCTCTGACAGTTGCACATCGGCGCGACGTCACATCCGAGCATCCATCGAGCCGCCCGGACGAAATAGCAACCGTACGGCCGAATCAAACACCCCGACCTTCGACCGACTACCTCCGCAACAACCAGCGGAACTTGTAAAGTTCCAGGCGCACAACACACAACACTAGATACACAATGGCGGCATCAGCCCTGGACCAGGAGCGACAACTTGCCATCGACCCAATCGTCGGCACCAGCGTCCAGCACAATACCCAGGTATGCCTTTGTCCAAGCCACACCAGTCTTGCGCTGTCCACTAACTCGTTGGTGCTATAGGTTGTCTCCAACATCCGTAGTCTCACTGCATCGCTCTTTGGTGTCGCCGCCGGCACATTAGGCCTCGAGTCGTATGCGGGCTTCATATTCTATCTGCTGGGCTCGCTAGTGGTGTCGGTGCTGCTCTTTGCGCTCAAGACAGATGGCAAGCCAGGCGCATACTTCTATCGGCCACTGGGTGACTTGTGGTTGGGAGATGTGTTTGGAGGGTTGATGGGATTCGTGCTTACCTGGACGTTGTTCTATGGCTTGGTCAGGGCGTGAAATCATGGAGCTGCACACTGCAACTTGAGTTGACTATCGGAATTTGGACATGTGGTAACCACAGATGCTGTGGTCTTGACAACATGGAAGAGCACTAGCCTTCGAAGCTCACAAGCTCTGAGATACTCCCATATCACCGGAGAAGACGCTCTCTGCCATAAGCCAGAAAGTGGGCAATCGCTACCATGCGCAAAGGCAAGGGTTTCAGAAGCCCAGCCAAAGAGAAGACAGCTTTCACGTCTATGAACAAAGTATTACGCACCTATCAAACCGTGATCTCTCCTGCTGCATCCGGCACCACTCAGGCACGCAATGTAGGGTCTTGGCGGCACTTTATGCCCTGTGCTGATTTAGCGCGTGGCCGACGCGTTTGCCAACCACTTTCGCGTTCCCCTCCATTGATTGTTGCCTCCACCGCAATTGTCTCTTGCACAACCACGCTTCGTATACCCCCTTTAGCGCCATCGTACTCACTTAATCTTCCTCCACATTCAAAAGTGTGTACTTCCTGCCATGTGTAGCCAACGAAACTGACCACGTACAGTGCTTGAGGCACGCTTAAACCAGGCCAACGTCCTAAAGAAGGTACACTCGCGCAAACAAAGCTCGGCGAAAGCTGTTCTAACGATGAACAGGTCGTCGACGCTATCAAGGACCTCGTGCAGGACTGCAACTTCGATTGCAATGACTCGGGTATCGCGCTCCAAGCCATGGACAACTCCCACGTCGCCCTTGTCTCTATGATGCTCAAGTCCGAAGCCTTCTCGCCCTTCCGCTGCGACCGCAACATCGCTCTCGGTATCAATCTGGGATCCCTTACAAAGGTGCTTCGTGCTGCTGGAAGCGACGACATTCTCACCATCAAGGCCGAGGATGCGCCAGATGTTGTCAACCTGGTCTTCGAGACCAAGAGCGCAGCCAGAATCAGCGAATATGACATTAAGCTCATGGACATCGATCAGGAGCACCTGGGTATTCCAGAGACGGACTACGCGGCCACAATCACTCTGCCTGCTGCTGAGTTCCAGCGCATTTGCAGAGATTTGGGTGCATTGTCCGAGTCGGGTATGTCTTTTGACATCTGCGACGGCGTGGCCGGAAGTTGAAGTGTGAGCTAATGTCTATCTAGTTTCAATCGAGTGCACCAAGGAGGGCGTCAAGTTTGCGTGCTCTGGCGACATTGGTTCGGGTTCCGTCATCCTCAAGCAAGACCCTAGTCTCGAAAAGGAGTCTGAGGCTGTCCTGATTGAGATGAACGAGCCCGTCTCCCTTACCTTCTCGCTGAAGTACCTAACCAACTTCTGCAAGGCCAGTGGCCTGTCTGACTCAGTCAAGCTTTGCCTTTCTAGTGAGGTGCCTCTGCTGGTTGAGTACGCTCTCCAGGATCAGAGCTACCTGAGGTTCTACCTCGCACCCAAGGTAAGAACCCACTTCTCACTGTTACAGTGCCATGGCTAATTTGGACAGATTGGCGACGAAGAGTAAACGCATCATGATTTCATTGACACACGAGCGGCATGTTTTCAGGATAGATGTGGGGGATTTGCGGCGCAATGGCTTTGATATGCATCGAGCGTCTGTTAGGTTCATGATTCTGGTGTGCGACATTGGCGAGTAGGCGGTCCCGCGCCCTAGGCACAAAAGGAAAGCCACTGCCCCACTAACGCTTCACGTCATACCGCGTGGAATTTCAGATAAGGAAGATCAACATAGTAAATCAACAACATACCCCGCGTGCACTTTTGTACCTGCATTCCACCTCCTCTGCCTGCTCTTTTCTCTCTCTGGTGTAAAAATGGCCTCCGACACGCTAATACCGGACACGCGCGTGCTTGCCATTGCCAGTCATGTAAGACTCACAGGCGGAAGATGTGTCTTGTAACTAACATGCGACAGGTAGTCCATGGGTGAGTCGCGTGCCGTCGCGATACATGCAACTCACTGACATTGAGCTGAGCTATGTCGGGAATAAAATGGCCACTCTTGTCATGCAATCGCTAGGTTGCGACGTATCCGCAATCAACACGGTACATTATAGTAGGTGCACCCGGCATCCTTCTTGGACGAACGCATGGCTAACAACCCAGGCAATCACACGGCATACAAGCAAATCAAAGGCACCAAAACATCCGCGACCGAGATCCTCGACCTTTACGAAGGACTGCGTCAATCAAACCTCACCAACTTCGATGTACTCCTGACAGGATACATGCCCAGCGCCGAGGCCGTGCAAGCAATAGGGACGATTGGCAGGGATATCAAGCTCAATGCTGGCACGAAGCCTGGCAGCTTCTTCTGGGGTGTGTGACTGCGCGAGGTGACAGGTACAAGACTAACCAAGATAGTGCTCGATCCTGTCATGGGCGACAATGGCAAGTTGTATATTCCAGAAGATGAGGTGCCAGAGTACAAGGGGCTGTTGCGCGAAGCAGATCTCATTCTCCCGAACCAATTCGAGGCCGAGTAAGTGAATCCCAAAGTCTTGCGGAACCAAGCGTGGCAGTTGTTGATAGAGCGTAGGCTACTGTCTGATACGCCCATCACTGATCTCAAGTCCCTTGCCGCTGCGATCCAAGTCCTTCACAAGACCTACCAGGTCCCTCACGTAATCATCACGTCCCTTCGCTTGACGCGCGACAACCAGACTATACCCTCAAGACCGGTGTCAAAGTCTGGCACAGGCACGAATACTCCCTCGGACCCTCAGCATCTCGATTCAGCAACATCCCAACCAGGTCCACAATCCCAAGCGCCGCAGATCGACCTCCACGATATCGAAAACCTTACCATCATTGGCTCCACCGCAACCTCGGACTACAAACCGCGTCTCTTCCGCATCGACACCCCGCAACTACCTCTCTTCTTCTCAGGGACAGGAGACATGTTCGCAGCGCTGACAATTCCCCGTCTGATTGAAGCTGTACACGATGCTTCTACGCCTGAGTTCAATCTTCATGCGAAATCAAGTTGGCGGTCACCCGACCATGTGTCGGCTGAGGAACTTCCTTTGGCGAAAGCCTGCCAGAAAGTTCTCGCGTCTATGCAAGCCATACTCACGCGCACAACGTCGGTCTGCCAGCAGAAGATGGCTGCATATGATGCTCGCGCTGCAAAAGAGGGCCGTGGTGAAGGGGACGAGGCGGATGAAGAGATTAGCAAGAAACGTCATTTGGCGCTCATGAATGCTAGTGAAGTCACAGTGCCGCGGTATGTGAAGGAGATGTTGGATCCGCCGGATCTTGAAAGGTTCAGGCCACGGACAGTGTACGAGGGCGAAAGTGTGCCTGACCATGTTGGCGAGAGGATGCCTGACGAGTTGAATGTGCTGCATTTGGGTGTTGGAACGAAGGACGGTGGTGCGATGCAGGTACTACAGGAGGGCAATCAGGGCAAAGCCGTCGGGGAGGGCAAGAGTTCATGATAGTTGATTGCATAGCCGTTCCGCGTTAAGCTTCATTGGCCGAACCATCGGTCTATCCTTGATCCGATGATCAAGTAGAGACTGGAACCAAATTAGATAACAAAGCATCCATCTTCTTGCCACGATCAGCACGGTGGCTCACCAGCATGCCCTAGATCATTGACATAGGCAGACCTAAGCCTTGGTACCATCTGTTGCTACAGCAGCAGCAGCCGCACCAAAGCCACCTGTGCTGCCGAAGCCCCCAGCACCCCTCACTGTATCCTCTAGTTGATCGACCACAACTACGTCGGACATGACAACCCGCTCGACTATAAGTTGGGCGATCCGGTCACCAATCTTGACAGGAAAGTCTGTCTCTGAGAGATTGGCGAGGATGACACCAACGGGGCCGCGGTAGTCTGCGTCGATAACGCCGGCCATGGTGTCAATGCCGTGTTTGTAGGCAAGGCCGGAGCGAGGTGCTACTCTGCCGTCTGTACGAGAGGTCAATCAGCATCGTGCTTCTAGATTGCCCGCGAACTGCGAGACTAGGGAGTAGATTTTTCAATATAGGGACACGTACATGTCCCGTCCGGCACCGAGATCTTAATATCAGTCTTGACCAGAGCCCTTCCCCTTGCAGGAATCACAGTGTCCTCTGCACTGTACAAGTCATGTCCAGCGGCAAATGCGCTTCCCTTGGTCGGCGCCTTGGCATTCGGGCTCAGCAATTGGACTTGCAATTGTTGTTCTGCCGCTGCTGCTCCAGCTGATGAGGGTGCGGCGATAGGCGCTGAGGGTTGTAGTGCTGCCATGTTGTCGTGGCTGGGGAGATGTGTAGCCGCCAAGGGTGTGGGTGTTGCGGCGCCCGAATCTGTTCCTCGTGGTAGAGTGGAGGCGTGGGAGAGAGGTGTGGGGTCAATGACTTTTGTTCGCTTTGGGAGGGGTGACGAGGGCAGAGATGGCGGCTCGTGGACTGGAACGGGGGTTTCTGACATTTTCTTCCTGGACGTCAATCTGAGGTTGTTTGGAGGGGCGGTGAAGGTGGTGAAAGACGCGTTGGGTGGGGAACAGACGACGCGTTGAGATGCGCTTTCATTGGCTGGTTGGCGAGGACTGCTTTCCACTTTCCACGTCTCTTGCCTCTTGTCTCTTGTTCATTCTGTGGCAGTACCTCGGTGCTCCATTTCGCAACCATTTGACTACCATGCGACGGGAGTCAACGTTGCTCCGTCAGCCATCGTCGTTGCTGCCACCCTGCGAAGAAGAGTGTTAGTCGTAGCCCAGACGTTGCGCGCCTCGAATATGCGCATCGGAGCAGAGGTCGTCATCTTCTCTGCAAGCGAGCGGAGTATTCCCATGGTACCTTTTGGTGCTGCGTGCGCAATGCAATTCAGCTGATGTCGTGTCCCTCGTGACCTCACAGCCACTCGTGGGACGACCGTGCCAAGGGGAGAGGTGGCTAACGTCGATCCCCCGCATTGAACACAACAGCATCGATGAATCCCAGACGTTGTCGTCATGTCTCACATGGTTATGTGGAGGTGCCCAGGGGCTTGCAGATTGACATTTCTTGGTTGAGGAATTGCGGCCAGATCGACTGAGAACACTATGGCAGGGTGTGAAGACGTCCATCCACAACTAGAGTAACGGCTTGCGAGTCAGACACTCCGATCCGACACTGTCGAGCGAAGTGTTAGTCAGTCCCACGGCCACACCGTGACTTCGCTAAGCCGCCTTGGCCTCGGAGCTTGAACAGCGATCTCGGGAGCTTGACCTGACCTACGACTCTGGCTCCGACTCGTCATGTCTGCAAGCTCCCCTTCATCACGGCCGTGCACATCACGAGACTGCTATGTTTTGAGTCTCGTGATCGTTATGAAACTCCTGCTCCATGGAGAAGATTGCCGGGAGGAGACCACTCCGACATTACCAATGCCCCATACAGCGCTACTGGTCAGACACAGTCTCCAGATATCTCGGGGTGACCTTGACCTCGCTCCAGTCCACATGACCAGCCGTGCCCTGCTTCAACCTTGGAACCTTAGGGTATTGAATGGACCCCGATTGTTGAGCGGAGTGGCTGACAGACTCCGTGCATACAGAGTACGAGATTTTTGCCTCCAGATGCATTGTGCAGCTAACCATCACCGCATCGCCAGTCCTGCACTGGTTAGTTTGAGAAAATCCTCCCGATAGTTCGACCAAGCGCTGGGTGCATGGTTCGAGGCTACTGTGGCCGGCTCATATGGTTGGCCGAGACCACGCTAGCGTGATCAAGCATGCTTGTTGAGCCTCACGGAGTGCTATGGGAACTAATGTACCCCATTTACCCTGTCGTTCCTATGCGACTTTGGCACGGCCCAGAAGCAAAATCTTGCCACGCTACGCTTTCCCCACCTCTCCGATGAGCGCTCCGTTTCTCACAGACCGCTGGCTGGTATCAGCTCGTCGGCCAATGTCAGCAATGCCGAGCACCAAAGCAGCGATATTCCAGAATCTTTCCACGACTATACTGCATACAGCTCGATGCCGTCCGTCTAAGCTATCGTCCACGAAAAGGCTTGTCTGAGCTTGGTGAGCCCATCGGTAATTGCAACGGCCAGACACTCACACACCGCAGACGCTCGTTGAAGAGCGATGCGTTGTGATCATTCGACGATCGGGGGATGACGAACAGCAAGCCCGCATCTCGATCCTACACATTGCTCCACAGTCCTGTCTATCAAGTGGTAGCGATAGACGGTGGCTGTCTGCACATGAATGCATTATCCCCGGTATGAGGTCAGTAGTTCACGACATGAACGAACACGACTTGACAGGTCGCGTTTGCTAAACGCAGCGCTACTGGCCTAGTGCCCTATCAGCAGACTGCCCACACGCCACATCTTCGCCCCAGCACGCGAATTGCGTATCACTGTTTAGTGCGCGTGTCAGAAGACCAGCCGCGTCTGGCACGTCGTGTCTGGGAAACTGACAATATTCACCATCGTGTTCCAGTAACACGGGCATGGAATCGCTGAACAGCGTTGCGCTAGTTGAATCTCGGCTTCCTAGTTTGCCAACCTGGCCAAATTTGGCTCACGATGATTTGAGCGCTTTGGTAATCACAGTCCTACGACGTACGAGTGGTCCCCGTCTCGTCTGCTCTAGGTCCAACACTATCATGGCTAAGACCACACACTAAGCTTCCCCAGCACCTTCGGACCTATTCTTACTAGCTTGTTGGCCAGCCGCGGGACTAGCGCGCTCACTCCATGCTTCCTGTCTCCAGACTAGGCGGCTGCCCATGGAGATCCCCAGGCTCATGGAAACACTTCCCCAAATGTACTTAAAGACGGTCAGCCCGCCGTGAAGTAGCAGACATCCTCATCCGAGTATTCTACTCTTCCTAGACTTGAGTCTTCCTTCTCCATCGCTTTTACATATTAGATCGTTGCCAATCATGGGTCTGATGTTGAAGAAGCCTCAGGGCGTAGCTGGCTCGACAGCGCCCGCCATCCTGGTCGGCTTGTTTGTTGCCTTCGGTGGTGTTCTGTTCGGGTATGCAAATTCTATCTCTTACCAAAGGACTATGCTGACTTTCACAGTTATGACACTGGTACCATTGGTGGTATCCTAGGAATGAAGCACTGGCGAGAGCTTTTCAGCACTGGCTACATCAACCGTACCGACGGTCTCCCCGATGTCACCGCCGAACAAACATCGTTGATCGTCTCTATCCTCTCTGCTGGTACCTTTTTCGGTGCTCTGACTGCCGCACCCACTGCCGATCTCCTTGGTCGCCGTCTCGGTCTTGTTGTCAGCAACATCGTCTTCTGTGTCGGTGTCATCCTCCAGACTGCTGCTACCGCTATCCCCATGTTCGTTGCTGGACGTTTCTTCGCTGGTTACGGTGTCGGTATGATCAGTGCCACTATTCCCTTGTACCAATCCGAGACTGCACCCAAGTGGATTCGCGGTACCATTGTCGGTTGCTACCAGCTTGCTATCACCATCGGTTTGTTGCTTGCTGCCATCGTCAACAACTCCACCAAAGACAGGGACGATACCGGCTCGTACCGTATTCCCATCGCTGTCCAATTCGCCTGGGCTATCATTCTCTTCCTTGGTTGCATCTGGCTTCCCGAGACTCCTCGCTGGTTCATCAAGAAGGGTCACCCAGAGAAGGCTGCTAAGTCTCTTTCCACCCTTCGCCGCCTTAATGTCGAGGATCCCGCTCTCGTTGAGGAGTTGGCTGAGATTACTGCCAACCACGAATACGAACTATCTCTTGGCAAAGCTACCTACCTTGACTGCTTCCGCGGCAACCTAGGAAAGCGTCTCTTCACTGGTTGTGCTCTCCAGTCCCTCCAGCAGCTCACTGGTGTCAACTTCATCTTTTACTACGGAACGTCATTCTTCCAGAACTCCGGAATTAGCAATCCCTTCGTCGTCAGTATGATTACCTCATGCGTCAACGTTGCCTCAACCTTCCCTGGTCTTTACCTCGTCGAGAAGTGGGGTCGCCGCAACCTTCTCCTTTTCGGTGCCATCGGTATGGCTGTCTGCCAATTCATCGTTGCTATCACCGGTACCGTTGCTGGCGTTGATAACCAGGCTGCACAGAAGGCTTTGATCGCATTCGTCTGCATCTACATTTTCTTCTTCGCCTGCTCATGGGGACCCGTTGCCTGGGTCGTCACTGGTGAGATCTTCCCTCTCAAGGTCCGAGCCAAGTCTCTCTCTATGACTACAGCATCCAACTGGCTCCTCAACTTTGCCATTGGGTACGCCACCCCATACATGGTCAACGACGGTCCTGGCAACGCCAACCTGGGTGCTAAGGTCTTCTTCGTCTGGGGCGGATGCTGCTTTATTTGCATCTTCTTCGTCTGGGCCATGATCTACGAGACCAAGGGACTTTCTCTCGAGCAAGTCGACGAGCTCTACGGCAAGTGCTCCCAGGCCTGGAAGTCTCCTGGCTTCGTTCCTTCTCTCTCTTTCCAAGATGTCCAGGACATGCATGCCGACAACCGCCGTGCTAGCCTTACCGAGATTGAGGCCGATGCTTCTCGCAAGAGGAGCGCCACCTACAACGAATACCCTGAGAAGCACACCGTCTGAGGGTCTACCACCGAGATGCATTGAATTCACGAAGAGTAATGAGAGTCGCTACTACCCTTGTAAATACGCAACTGGCGGTTTGAGTTTCGCATGATAGCGCTGCGCACTGTATATATCCATCGTCCATGAATTATGATCTGTATCACTTCATCTACGTCCATAATTGCTTTCCTCATGTTCTTACTCTCATTTGTTTTCCAATCCACTTCCAATTCTCTCCGACGGAAGGATAATCGGTGACTACCAGTCTACATCCCGCCACTCACGCGAGCGCTTCTCGCGTCTTGGTCCTAACGATCGATGCCCAACCGCCAGAGGCCAACCGGTCATCTTCCGCAACGCCATCGCGTTTCCCCAGGTTTACCCCAACTCTAGCGTCGCGGGTAGCGCCATCGTAGCGGCTGACTCGGATATAGCCACCCGCAACCTTGATTGGCATCGTAACAGACAACGTCTGGTCATATATCCAATTTGCAGTCGACCTAACTGGTGCATATATGGATGTTGTGTGTGATGGAAGAGATTGCCGCACGTCACAAGTCTTAATATCAGCTTAACATTAGCGACTGTCTTGCTTCCAATCTGCAAAGGATTTTGCCGCTTCATCTTCGCGACGTTTACGATATAATTCAAGGCAAATGGTGATAAGTAACGTCCCCAGCTGGGCGTGGGCTTGTCAAGCTTTTCACCCCGAGATCCCCATCATGGGATCTATTATGATGATTTGCCACGGTCCGACTGTGCTGGGCTTCCATACATGATACTTTTTTCCAAACAAGAAGTGATACTAGCTGTGTAGGGCCGACCGTAGCGATATTACGCCCTCGTTTGGGTCGCCGGGTTGAGATCAGGCATGAAATCCATGTACAAAAAGTCAAAGCAGGGAAGCCGCCTGGCCGCGAACGCCTGCGGATGATGCGACGGTAGCTGTAAGTGACAAGTTCAGTAATCAGGAACGAAAATTTGCTTGTGGATGCAATTATCGTGATGTCGTCGCCAAGTGGCTATTCGTGAAAATCTCAGTCTGTGTCCGGAGAGAGGCGGCCGGTTTTGGAGAGTGGAAAATTGACGCGTAACGCGTCAATATTCTGAACGCAGTTCGGCAAACATACTTTGAAGGTCAAGAGAATTCCAATGCAAAGGAATGATACTTTATATCGTTACTTCAATTCTGGACTCCATAGTTCGAGAATTGCTCGAAGGTAGGACATGATTCTGTACATGGTGGTAGAGGCTCTGCTGCACCGGGATTTGGTACATGACGCGTGCCAAGAGACCGAGCGTCACTTCCGCCTCGGTCTTTCCGACCCGAACTTTCGAAAGGCTTCACAGTTTACAACGGTGACCTTCCAAAGCTTGTCGCAACATAGCTCTTGTTCATGATTGTGTTTGACGTTTTCATTTTGTCTTCCGCAATAAAGTATCGTGCTTCCATATGAAACGCCATCCTCCAATGATATGCCGCCACGCCTTTTGAAACGGGTGTCCTCCTGTGAGCAGTCATGGTTTTGGTGATTCCAGAAAGTCGGTGAGGCAAGAGGACACTCACCCCATGGGTGCATAGACAGGGTGGCCATTGCGCAGCTCCAGACTTATTCGCGCGCAAGCAACACGCTCAGTCTCGAGATCATTCACTACTCCCTCACAACACACACTCTCTTCTTCAATACAAAGACTTGCTAGGCTTTCTTCCATGTCTCCGCAAATTCTGACAGCCTCCATGAGATTAAGCACGTTCGATGCCCTGAACGAGGCATTATACGGCTCCGCATACGGTTTCGGCGAACGTGTACTACCCCTGGAATTGAGATCCCGCACCCCACGATTCTTCCTCAAGCTACCAGTCACCTGCCGATACAAAGACGACAAACTCACTCTTTTGTTTGAGAAAGTTACAAAACCGACCTGGAACGCTCTTTGCGAACATGTCGGAGAAGAACGTACCATCAGAGTCATACTGGACGATGGCACGCAATCATACGACGCAAGGCTTTCATTGCCAGGAAGCGAGCCGCTCGAAGACAAGAGGACCGAGGTGGACCTTCGGTGGCAAGAATATGAAGAAGCGATATATGTGCTCAAGAAGATCCTTGCGTGGATAAAAGAAAAACTACTGAGACGATAAATCAAGAGACTTCCTCAACGCTGATTGAAACAGTGGCATCTTATCATCCTCAGATTGCCTGGTTCTCTTGGTTGCTGCCAGCATGCTAACCTGTTATGATGTAATCTCCGATCATATGTTGATCTTCAATATACCTCTGGCGTTGATCAAAAATGCCGAGTGCTGAAAGCTTGCGGCAATGGCGCGACAAAGACGTATGCCGAAGAGCGGTTTGATGTTCAGCACGCCGCCCGCCGTAGAAGGTTTCGTCTCGAAAAAAAGGAAGAGTTGTCATAACAACGCGATTGGCCTAGAAGCCTGGAATAATTCGAATCGATTCCAATTCCCGACACGTCAACGGGAACTAGATTAGTGTCGCGCAAACGCCTTCCTTAATCGGGTTTCCACGTGTCCCGGCAGATCGATGATACACATTCTAAGACTCGCCCCAGATTGACGTTTTCACCGCGAGCCTCGTCCGAGAGTTTTGCAGACTTGTCGCCTCAGACCCATACCCTTATCGGACCGGTGAGTGCGGGTTTAACGGATGTGTTGTGCACGCACCGCTTGAGGCTCAAAAACGTCGTCAAAGTGGGTCTGATGCCAACGGCGTAGATCGGCAAAAGAGCAAAACACTAGGATAGTGATACGGCAACCTCATACCGTCTATTGACATATTACAAATGCTGGAAAACTTCTAGAAAATGCGTATAAGTATAAGACTACAGCTAGACAAGTAGGGAGTTTGCATCTCACCAAACAATTGTACCTCTCTCTCACACACACCACTACATTCATCAGCTACTCAACAACAGCTACAAACAATCATGTCTTCATCACCAGACTTCAAGGGATGGGTCGCTCACGACCCCTCTGCCGCAGACGGAAACATGCAATGGGGTGACTACACCCCCAAGAACTTCGAGTCCACCGACATCGAGATGGAGATCAGTCACTGCGGTGTCTGCGGCTCTGACATTCACACTCTCCGCTCCGGCTGGGGCCCCTCGGACTACCCTCTTGTCGTCGGTCACGAGATCATTGGAAAGATCACCCGTGTAGGAGACGATGTCAAGGACCTCAAGGTCGGTGACCGCGTTGGTGTTGGTGCTCAGAGCGACTGCTGCGAGAGCTGCAGGCCCTGCAAGACTAAGCAGGAGAGCAACTGCAACAACTTCGTCATGACCTACAATGGCAAGTACAAGTCTGGCGACAAGGCCATGGGTGGTTACGCAAAGAATTGGCGTGGACCTGCTTCTTTCGCCATTCCCATTCCCGAGGGTCTGCCTTCAGAGTACGCCGCTCCTCTCATGTGCGGTGGTGTCACCGTCTACAACCCCCTCGTCTCCTACGGTGCCGGCCCAGGAAAGCGCGTCGGTGTTGTCGGTATTGGTGGTCTCGGTCACTTCGCCCTCCTTTTTGCGAAGGCTCTCGGATGCGACGAGGTCGTTGCCATCTCCCGTTCTTCCAGCAAGAAGGCCGATGCTATGGAGCTCGGCGCTGACAAGTTTATCGCCACTGGAGAGGACCCCGAATGGATGACCAAGAACGCCGCCGGCCTGGACATCATCATCTCCACCATCTCTGGTGGTTTCCCTCTGGACCAGTACCTTAACCTCCTTGACGTCAACGGCACTTTCGTTCAGCTCGGTGCTCCTGACGACCCATTGCCCTCTTTCTCCCCCATGGGCCTGATCTTCAAGAACTTGAAGATCGCTGGTAGCTTGATCGGCACCAGGCAACACATCCGCGACATGTTGGAGTTGGCCAAGAAGACCAACCTGAAGGCTTGGGTCCAAGTCAGGCCCATGTCCGAGGCCAACGACGTCATTGTCGACTTTGAGAAGGGCCTTCCCAGGTACCGTTACGTGCTCAAGAACTAGGAGTTTATGAATGAATTAGACGATACCCAGTAGATGTAGATTTTGTAGTATAGAACAATTCGAGTACTTGTCTTCTCGATCATCTTCTCCACATCACGATGTTTCCTACCCGTGTTGATCCTGGCGCATTATGACAGAGGAATCCTTGTCGACAAGAATCTGTTTGCATTAGGTGAAGACGTAATGTCCCATCACGATCAGATCTGGTTACTAAGTTGTTGGTTGCACCGAAAGACTGATATCCAGGTTTCGAACACCATTTCGGGTTACGGCGGCGTTGGAGGAGGGTAGTGATAGGCGCGATATTTACGCTGATTTTGAGGCCTACAGCAAGCCAATCAGCGCCTTGTTCGCTTTTGTGAGCATATAGTCGCCTTCGAGACCTGTTTTCATGCTGCTTTTCTTCTTCACCGTGGGGCCTGTGGCCACCTCAGTGTCCACTCCTTTCGTCTTTCATTTCATCCTCTCGCGTCGCTCTTCTTCGTTTTCTTCCTTGAAAGCCTGGAGCGCACCTACCGAACACAGGAGCCACTGCTACGTTCTTGTTGTAGCGTTCAATTTCCGAATTTAGAGGAAGCGCCTTTCAAGACCAAGATTTACATCATCATCATCATCTTTTTCTTGACCCGCGCTTGCTCGACCTTCGAGAAACTCCATCCTGTGTTCCATCAGCGCATCAGTCTTCCCTATCCGCGCAAACCGAAGAACAGCATCAACCACCCTCCGAGATAAATGGGTTTTCCCTTTTAACCAATCACGTCACATCCTCCCCATGGTTACAACATTCTTTTGCAGCCCTACATGATGACTACGAACCAACATCGTCAGCACCACTACAACCTCAGCAGCCTGCTGCTATCTTTGTGAACCATATTTGCCAGGTCTGCGGAAAGAGGTTCCGACAGCTCTCAAAACTGAGGTTTGTATGATGTTGAGCAATCTATTCACAATGTTAAGCCTCAGTAGATTGCACTTGCGGACACACGATACCTACAAATGCGAACCTTGCGATGCATATTTTCAAGACAGCAAGGATGCTAGAAAGGATCTAGAACGACACAAGCAGACCAAAGCGCATCGAAAAAAGCTTGGTCTAGACACTGGTTCCTCGCCGTTCGTGTGTCCGGTTGAGTGGTGCGCAAAGAGTATGCCACGCAAGGACAATATGAATCGGCATATCAGATCTCAGCACCCTGGTCATGGGTAATTAAAGTAGCAGTTATCTAGAGATAATGTAGAAGCTTGATGCGAATTATGATGCTTTGATATTCATGTTGATCTTCGCCACTTGAAAGACAGTGTAATCAACCCTAGGGCTTTCGCTAGTAAACCAGTAAATATACTTTTGACTCCCAAGTACTCTTCGTAATAGATTGATGATTGAGACCACGCACATGTTCAAAACTAGAGACCGAGTACGCCCATCCGATTGCCTAATGACTGGAGGGCGTATGTTGCGTTAGATAGCCACATGATTTCATATCGCTCCGTTGAAAGTCATTTCCAGGTCCAACACGGCTAGGCCATGCAAGATGAAGTCAAAGTATTGGTAGGCCTCAATTGTGCATAAACATCTTCTATTGGCCGGCCAGAATGTTTTGGCGAATATAAAGGTATCACATCCTCTCTAGATTTCATTCCTCAGCTACGAACAGGCTTTCACCGAAACTTCTACCATCGCTTCCATCACTAGTCATGTCTTCCATCTTTTGTTGTTCCAATACTCTGGGGTACAAGGATCGTATCCTGTCCCACGAATCCAAGTTCCAGACTTTTATGGCCTGGGCCAACTATCCTAAAGAGAGCAGCGCAGTCTCACCTGACACAGTGCCGTCTTCAGCCGACGTTACATTCGCAATTCAGGTTGTTAAGCAAACAAACTACGGTCCACTCGATAGCAAGCGATACTTTATCACCGGCTCTTATGGAGTTTTCGTCGAGGTGACCGAGCAATGGCTCATCGACGCGAACTTCGAGAAGCTGAACACGTAAGCATACAAAGAGAAACAATAATGTGATAAAGCGTTGTTGCTTACAGTGATGAAGGTTCAAGAACTTCAAGTGTGCGACTCATAACAAATTCTTTGAAGTCAACATCTACCAGAAAAATCCGACGAATGCGCACTATTGGCGAGCCAATATCGCTAGACCTGCAACAGAGATAGACTTGTGAGTAGTGGTAACGAAGAGAGAGGTGGTATGACGACGACACTGTTGTCTCAACGTTTGGAAACACTTTTGTATGAACAGAGGATCTAGTGGGATATACGAAAGCTTTTTTTACGTTGGAGATGTGACAACTGCGGAACTTGGTTACATGGACAGAAAGTCAGTGGAAGACAATCACTATAGTACTCTGATTATCATGTTAACGGTTCTTCCACAGGATGTTTCGTTTAATTACGATGCTGAGTTCACACCACCACGTTAGAAGCTCTTTGTGATTCCAGTCTTGATACCCTCAAGTCTCTCCACCAACTCTTTCCAGACTTTTTCTTGACCCTTCTTTCCGTCATCGCTCCGCACGAAAGCGCTCGGCTCAGTAATCTCGCAGTCGCTGAGATACTTTCCATGGGTCTCGACACCTGAAGTACCGGCGTGCACAAGAGTTCTTGATCCCACTTCCGTCGTACGTGCGAGCAGAAAGCGCATAACGGCGAGAAACCCTGGACCTTCCCGACCGAATTCGCTGTTTGCTCAATTAGTATGGATGACGAATGTGAAAAAAAGAGATGACTCACGAGTGGCAGAAGCCAGGATTAACGAGATTCACCGTCACTGGAATATTCGATTCCGGGTATCGCTCGCAAAATGCGCGGACGAATAGTATTTCCATGAGCTTGCTGACCTGATATCGATTGCCGAGTCCAACTTCCTTCCCATCGACAACCTTCTCATTCAATCTCTCGAAGAGTTTGCCCTCGGGTGCATTCCTCTCATCGAACGGTGTCCACTCATGCACCTCGGAGCTGACAATGGTAAGTGTGGGTCTAATGTTGAACTTGTTCGCCGTTTCCTTGAGCTTAGGTAATAAAGCGAAAGCCAGCAGGAATGTAGACACCACGTTCACGGTGATGGTTGATTCGTCTTGTTCGAAGACCTCCCAGACGCCGCGGTTCACGCCGGCGTTCAAAACTGCAATATCCACTCGTTCCAACTCTTTGCTAGCTTTTTCGGCGAAATCGAGAACTGATTGGTAGGACGACATGTCCAGTTGCATGACTCTGACTACATCGTTGCGGCCTGTTGTGGATTCAATATCCTTACGCGCTGCTTCACCCTTCTCGATGGAGCGCACGGCAAGGATCACAGTCGAAGCATTGAGCTGAGTGAAGTGACGCGCGGCCTCTTTTCCAAGACCGACGTTGGAGCCCGTGACGATAACAGTCTTTCCAGTAAGATCACCGCTGGGCTTTACAGGTGTGACGAAAAGCTGGGAATAGAGGAAACGGCCGATGCCTGCCATGGTGATTGTTTGGTAGTATTTGTGAGTGATGTCGGAGCGGACGAGAGGGAAGGCCGTTGACGTTGAGAGCGCTCCTCCGCTTTTAACTTCCTTGTATCAATGTGGTCGCGCTTAACAAGGGCCGAGCGTACTTGAACAGCCCGCGGGGTCTGGGTTTCAATCTCCCCGTCCCGCAACGCGAAGATGCGTTTGGAAGGTCTATGATGTCACTTACTTCTAGACCTTCCCAGTCAGCTCTATCGAGGCTGCACGCCTGATCATACCATTACAGGGCCGGACGAACCTTTCTGCATTTCTGAACGATTTCCTGATCGTCGTTAGTGCCGGCTAAGTGACGGAAGCTATCGTTTAGCTACTGCGGAGTTACACGGATTTAGCTCTTGGTTCGTATCTTCACTTGGTACCTACACCATGCAGTAGCCAGATTGCGCTGGCCACATCTTGCCCATATATCTTGTCCTTGTGACTCTATGAGCCCAGGAGTTGTAGGTAGCCGAACCTTGGCATGGGCTTTCCAGCTGTATCCCAAGCGCATGTTGTGCAGTGTAAGCACGGGACGTTCCGTTTACGCACGCAAGCATCAGCACTTTATCTCAACATCCATGTTACAAATTCACACTCATGTAAGAATACAGGGCTGTCAAGTTCATCGACTGTAATAACAATACGGCACGATATCTAGGCAAGCCACATGAAGCGCATGCAGCACTTCAGCCCAGGTATTCAAGACACGAGCAAATGCCTGCGCCAACTCGCTCATAATCATGCGAACTTCCCCTAGAACCAAATTAGTGTACAAATGCTCAGCTTCACTCTCCGATTTTGGTATCCCCCAACGCAACGATAATGGCGTGCAACTGCACAAGCTAAAGAAATCGAACGCGCGACTCAAACAACCCCAGATCTACCAGGCATCGACGTCGAAGCCTTCTTCGGAGAACTCGGTCGCAACAACGGTTCTCCGCGAGAACTGGCGACCAGCAAGTGCCTTGATGGCCTTTTGCGCAGACTCGGTGTCCTTGTATTTAATATAAATCTTGCCAACACCGAGGTTGACGCGGGCACCGGCGGGACGGGGAATCTTGGTCTCAACGATGGGTCCGTACTTGCCGCACTCTTCTTCGATGTCTTCCTTGATTTCTAGATGTTGTTAGTATTGTGCGATGCTTTGTGGGTTCTTTTCAAGCTTACCTTCGTATTCCTCGTCATTCAGAAGCTCGTCCGAGGTGACCATGTTCATCAAGCAGATGACACGGCTGTGCTCATGGTTCTCGGCCGCGCTGGCTCCTGCCAACATGGAGATGGCACCAACACCACCATCGAGACCAGTCGTTTGCTGAAGTCCGACAGTGGCACGTGAAACCTTGAGGTTGCCATCACCAAGCGGGATGTCGTTTAGACCTTCGATGACAGCATCGATGACTCCGTTGTCCGCGTACTCACAGAATGCGATACCCTAAGATCTGTTAGCTTACAAGTCGTGCTTGCTTACAAGTGTATACTTACGCGGTGCTGATCGGTGCCGGTGTCCTTGACGAGGGTGAAAGCCTTCAGCTTGCCCATAGTCTCTACGAGTTCTCGAATCTGCTCCTCTTCAATGTAGGTAGGAATGTTGACGATGCTCAGCTTGTTAGGGCTATCCTTGACAACAGAGGAAATCTCGTCGCCAGGTGGGTATGCGTTCTCATCGGCAGAGGGAGTAATGTAATCCTTGGGGCGGCGGATGGACAGACCCGACCTGTCGGGAGCTCCTCCGTCGTCGCGCATAGAGATTCCATTCATAGCCAAAGCAAGGGTCGCATCTTCGGGTGCCTTGAACTCTAGCGCAGCGTACTCCTTGCTAGTAGCAATGTGGGCTGACAGGCACGGGTCGTTTCCGGACACGACGTTGAGACCGTTGAGCTGGTTGTTGAAGAACTCCATGATCTCCTGAGAAGTGCAGCCCGAGGGCAGATTGTGGACATAGAGGCGCTTGGATTGCTTGGCGGCTGATGTTGCGAGAGCGGCAGCTGTGGCAGTTCCGGAAGAGGGCGAGATGAAGGCAGCCAGCTTAGACGGGTCCATGGGCGCAGCGCGGGGGGCACCGGGCAATGGAAACATGCCCGACAGCTTAGCCTGCTCTGCCGTGATGTTTTCGTAGCCTGCAGGCTTGATGTCCCATTGGGTCATGCGACGCTGGCGCTTCTGGATGTTTGTGAAGCTGGCAAGATCCGGCGTAGCCTCGCGCGGCTTGTTGAAGGGCGGAGAGTCTTCCTTTGCCTGACGCGCCCTATCACGTCCGCCACCGAAGCCTCCATCGCGTCCTCCCCGTCCACCTCTGCGGTCCTCGCCGCCAAATCGGTCGCCGCCTCTCTCATTGCGGTCTCCACGTTCTCTTCGGTGGCCGCGGTCGTCATCGCGGTCGCGGTCTCCTCGAGGTCGGTCGCGTCTCGAGTACGAGTCGCCCCAGCCACCTCGGTCCCCTCCCCGCTCGCCCCGGTCATCGCGACGTTCTCGACGTGCGTATGTGTCCTCGCGTTCGCGCTCACGGTAGTCGCGGCTGGAAGAATACGTGTCTACCTCGTAGTCGCGGCGGGAGCCTCCGCCGTGGCGGGGAGAGCGTGAACGACGTCGCCGCCTGTCGCCACCCCGGTCGCCGCGGTCGCCGCGATCGCGATGGTCATCTCTCGAGGACTGTCTTGTCAGCATGTGCCCAGTCATGTCGCGACGGGTGTGTGCACTCACGTAATTCCGCGATCCGCTCTGTCGGCCACCGTCTGCTCATGTTAGTCTTGATTCTGGGAGCTGTACACTAGTCAGTACATGTACTGATAGACGTCGCTTACCTCTGGAATAGCTATCGCCGTTCATAGTGGGCGGCTGTGGGTGCTAGAAGCTCTCGCGCTGGTCGTAGTGTTCAGCCGCGTCAGATTCTGCTGCTGCTGCTGGAGGTGAGATGGCGAGACGAGCTGCAATTAGCAGATGTGGATCAAGAAACGACTGATGGATCTACCACGTGCAATTGTCCAGACTTTGGGACGCGATGCTTCTGCGGTGATTGCGGTTGCCGTCGCGGAAAACGTGTGAGAGAAAGTCGGGGCTGCCTTAGCGTATCCTTGGCGTGACTACCCCTGTCACCCAGGCCTGGCCGGGCCATGGTATATTCACTCCTGCTCGCATGGGCTTCTACATGCACCCTTCTCCGACTATTGTTGACCATGGCGTTGCGCGCAGCCGAATGGCACAAGCTGCCTACAAGCCTCACCGAACTCTGCATCAACACCACTCTGCGATGTGGGCAGTCGTTCAGGTACATGCCATGTTGCCCCTTGTACTCGAGTCGCAATAGCTTCTAACGTGCCATCAGATGGCGAAAGTCGGCCGATGATGTCTGGTCAATGGCCCTTCACGGTCGCATACTCTCCCTCCGCCAAGATGCCGACTACCTCCACTACCGCGCCACCTACCCACCTGTTACCACCGCCCTTCCTACTCCACCCCCGTCCAATGCGCCCTCGGTTGCGCCCGAGGAAGACGACACTCTTGCTCTCGTCAAACACTACTTCAACCTCGCGCCCGACTTGGGCCAGTTGTACGAGCAATGGGCAGCGTCCGATGCCAACTTCAAGAAGCGCGCTCCCAAATTCACCGGTATAAGAATCTTGCGGCAGGATGCCTGGGAGGCCCTGATTGGTTTCATATGCAGTAGCAACAACAACATTAGTCGCATATCTGGCATGGTGCATAATCTTTGCTTGCACTACGGTCCGCTTATAGCAAGCATCGACGACGTACCCTACCACGATTTCCCCACGCCCGAGGCCCTCTCAGGCCCCAACGTGGAAGCGCATCTCATGAAGCTTGGATTTGGCTATCGTGCCAAGTATATCGCAAAGAGTGCACGAATGGTGTCGGAAGAAAAGGGCCTGAAATGGTTGGACAATCTGAGTAACCCTGAGTGTCCACAATTTGGAGTAGAAGAGAAGCCGGCTGGAGACATGCTTGAGGGTGGTCGTGAGGGGTATCGGCGTGCACATGAAGAGCTTCTTGCCCTGCACGGTGTGGGCCCAAAGGTCGCAGACTGTGTGTGTCTTTTTGGGCTCGGCTGGTCCGAGTCTGTACCCGTCGACACACATGTCTGGCAGATTGCCCAACGCGACTACAGGTTCGGCAAGGGCAAGCACAGTAGCCTGACTGCTGCTACATACGCTGCGATTGGGAACCTGTTCCGAAAGCTGTGGGGAAAGGAAGCAGGATGGGCGCATTCTGTCTTGTTCACGGCGGACTTAAAGGCATTCTCTGACAGGGTCGTTGCAAAAGTTGAGGTCAAGGAAGAGGAAGTAACAATAAAGAAGGAGGAAGAGGATACCACCATACAACAAACGGTCAGAAAGGAGACCGCGAAGCGAAAGCGCATCAAGCAGGAGCCTGAGGAAGCGCCCTCTGTTGTCCAAGTAAAGCAAGAGACGATGACACGTAGGAGTAAGCGACAGCGAGCTTAGCTCGGTTCCTGAAGCTAGATACCAATACAAACGAAAGCTCATTGCTGATCTTCTGCGGATGACCTCCCTTCCACTACGACTTAGACATGTTGGACATGGGCAAAAAGATCTCCGTCGACGGGTTGCGCAAAAAAGACAAAAACATACAACAGCGGGGATTCGCTAGTGGTCACCCACCTAACTACTAATCCGCCGGTACACTGCTTGTATATGGCTGAGCGGACGGGAAGCCTAATTTTCAGTGTCCTATGGTCGTATGTGGTAGAATGTCGACAAAAAACATTTATCAAGTCGACAGGCTGATCATTTGTGAAAAAGCCATGGATATCAGAGCTACACAACTTAGATTGTTCTAAGTTGTAGGTACCAACCCGGTGCTAAACATCGGAGTCAATATAGACTTTGTTAGCTGCAGAAGTAGACCCACACTACCACCGCATTTACGCACCGGCCAGCACAGCGGTGCTCTCTCATTCTTCCTTCAACACACCATTCAAACTCAATTGCAAGTATGCGGTATTAGTATGCAAAGAGAGTGAGTGTGGTCACTTCATTTTTCTGACATATTTTTGTCAATTACAAGACTTTCAAATGAGTGTTCTTATATCCTTTCCATCTCCATTTACATAACGTTTCGAAGCACTCAGCCGCGGATGATGACAGGACGCTGTTCACCTTTGATAGCACCACCAGAACTCTCTCCGCCACAGATGGTTGTCTAGACACCCTCATCGCTACAGTCACCCGTGAAGTATCCTTCGACACACCTTCGTGGCCATATTAGCGACGTGTGTACAGCATTCTATGCAGTAAAGAAACTTACGTGATCCATGGAATGAAGACAACATAGCCTCTCTCGCCTGGTCCAAACGTATACGAACCCTCAAAGCTTTGAGTTACAGATTCTGAGAACTCAAAACCAACACTAGCGGAAACAATACCCAAAGGATCGCTGACAGAGAATTCAGTACTAAAGGTCGTCTCTTCAGTCACTTCCTCGCCTAGAGTTGCCTGGCATGATTCCGTGGGCGTACAAGTGACTACATCAGAGATGACGTAGTTTGTTCCACCGCTCTGAAACGGCCCTCTGGTGGCTTGAAAGCCGTCGCAGTCCCGTTTCGTGAGAAACTTGGTAGGTTGTGTTTCGGCGCTGCGGACCTGGACGGGAAGAGACGGCTCATCATCTGCATGCTGCAAGAGTGCAGCCGTCTTCGGCTCGATAACATTACCATCGAGATCAAGAAGCATAAGGATGCCAGAGGGACTGGCGCCGACTCTGCTCGTATCACGCTTGCCTGGTGCGCCAGCGTCTGTGCATTCTTCAAGGCCACAGCACCGAGACGCAATGAAGGTATTATCGATGGTGATCGCAGCACATGTTGCCCCCTCAGCAACGATGATGTTGCCGCCACAATTGACGTCGTTTGGTCTGACGGGCGTGCGAATGAGAGTTCTACAATCGTCCTCCTGCGGAGGGACATCGATATAGATTCGGATTCGACCATTCTCTTGGGGTGGGAAGCCGCTCTCCGTGAGTTGGTCACCAGTGTAATATGGGCAATCTGGCCATCCCTAGTACTCGGTCAGTCGCTTCGTGCCAACGAGGGCCTGAGGTCGCTCACCTTTCCAGCACTGAAGTAAAAAGGACAGTCAGTGCAGGTATTTTCCCTGCATGTCCACAAGCCTGTTTCGTCCTGACGTGCTGAAAGTAGATTCGGACTGGTCGGCATGCTGGAGACAGCGCCGATCCAAAGCATGGCTCTAAGAGGCCGAAACATGTTGATGGTGATAGAAGAAGATGTTTTAGACAAGAAACTCAGAAACTGACTGCTCTCGAGATGATATTGAGAAGACAATGGGTGTCGAGAATACCTTTTCTACAGGATGACAGCTGTTCTTATAGGCGTTTGGGGCACTTTTGTTATCTCTCGTTTGGTGATATTCGTATCCAGCTTGCATCAAGAGGGTGTTTATGCTGGCAGTTTTCGAGGGAGCGCTGAGCGTTACATTGAGCCGTTTCTCGGCGAAGATTTGCACTCATCTACTGGTACCAAGAGACAGCTGGTGTTGGCTGTTTGCCATTTCCACGCGCGATGACAAAGGTATTCTACATCTCCTTCTGGTTTTGGCAGCTCGATCGAGAATACACTTCCTTGGGGACATGTTAGAACATCAGGCATCCGTGAAGGAGGCTATGCTGGGTGGTATACTCCCCATCCATAAACGAAAGAGTCTTCCAGGCATTGTAAGCGCTTGCCAAATGTATACGCCGATGGGCCTCTCAAGGCAAACCTCGACTGCGCATCTTGAGTTCCGCTAACTTCTAATGGCAACATCTTGTAGATGTTTCGCGGAGAGCATCAAGAAGCTTCCTCTTGATTGAAACCTTCACACGGAGAGCTCAAATAAGAGCGAATCGCCATGAAAGTCGAATGCGGACGGAGCGTCTAGTTAGCCTAATGCTAAGCAATATAGTGGTCAAGCACCATTCCATAACACTCCGGCTGTAACTGTCCGTTCAATACGTGGAGCCCTGACGGGTTTGCATTCATTTGATTTCGAAGTGTCAATATCGTTCATAGATTCGTACAACGGGGCGTAATGTGATGTCAAGGATGCTGTATAATTGGAAGCGAAGATGCGTACCTGGAGGCGGCACTGAAGTGCCGCGCGTGCCGTCCCCGCCCTTGGCATTTGTCTGGGCGACCCAAGCATCGTGATGTACTGAGACAACAAAGGCGAATGTTACATTCACTAAGTCCTCTTATGACTTTAGTTTCATAACACCTGGGTCCGACGGCTCACAGTCAGCAAAATGACGTCGCAATGCCGCAGCGCTGCTATACTTAGGCAGTAGCATGAATTGGGCGGAACGTGAGTATATGCTTCCTTCATCGAAACTTATTCTCTCATCCTAAGCTCTTAGACTCAGGAAAGCCGCCATAATCATGTCTGCTTCTCTCAGCTCTATCACATCTGGCGAAACTCAGCCCACTCCCATTGCTTGCTCACCAAACATTGCGCCTAACGGGATCAATGTGACGGGACTTGTAGGTCAAATTTGCCAAGTCAACGTCCCTCTCAGCGAGGTCAACATCACATCCTGCTGTGACAACGGCGCCGAGGTGCGCCTCCAAGACAATTGCACTCAATGGTGCGAGGTTAATGACGGGGGAGACTTCTTTGACTGTATCAACGACATGACCGATCCATCATACCCTTTTCTTGGTGGGCCTTGTCAAATCGTAAGGGAAGACGCGACAGTAACCGTATCCTCAACGGGTACTGGGGTAACGTCGACGACATCTACTTCCGAGGGAATGTCCCAGTCTACCGAAGAAGTGTCGGCTTCCACAACTGGGTCAGGAGGTGGAGCTGAAACTCCCGAAACTCCTGAAGAAGGTGTGTACTTGTTCACTCTGCTCCCTGAAATACTGCATCAAGGCGCTAACCGAACAAGGCACGGCCGCAGGCAACTTGGGAGAGTATCAGCTTCGTATAGTGGTCTTAGCTCTAGCTGCAACACTAAGCATTCTTGCTGTCCTTTAACCAATATCCTATAAGGGGGATACTGGCAAGCCATATTAGATCCATGTGTCTACCACCACATCATCTCGACGTGAGATCTCCCTATGTGATGCGCACACCGCAACATTCACCTTCGTTCGGGCTACTGAGGCGGTGCTTCATTCCGCTTGATTTACCACCTCAGGCTTTTCTTGTCCGTAAACATCTTGCTTAGCATCCTCTTTGATCCTGCACTCATATTGTTTGAATTTCCGTGCTGCGAAGCCCGCTTCAAAAATCTCATCAAGCTCTTCCAACGATCGCGTTTTCGTCTCAGGGAGAAAGAAGAAGAACCATATCACGCATAAAAAGTTCGAAGCTGCCCAGATATAGGTATACTGCGGGCCCTGCAAACACGTTAACACTGACACTATATATCATAAGGAGTGGTTGTACTGACCCAGTCAAGATCTTGGGGGTTGATGAAGTAGGGTGAGCAGAAGCCGACCAGCCAAGCAAGAAAGTACCCCAATGCGTTCGCACTTCCTACAGTCCAAGCGCGCAGTCGCGAACTAACAAGCTCGGTTGCTAGAGGACTTGTGGCAACACCCACTCCAGCATTATAACAAAACATGAACAGCGCCGTAAAAGCTACCAACACATTCCCGGTTTCCGTTGAGTTTGGCTTCGCACTACTCGCAATCCCACAAGCGAGCTCACATAAACCGCACATTATGGCTCCGGTGATCATGATCGTTCTCCTGCCGAACAGTTTGTTCATGGAGAAGAGACCTAGATGTACACCAATGAACCCAATGCAAGAGTTCATGATGCTGAATTCGAACGCTTTTGTGATACCAGCGATGGTAAAGAAGTACGTTTGGTACCCAATGAAGAACCAAACCCCACTGGCTGACTGACTTGCGATTGTACCCCAACAAAGCAATGTACGTCTTAAGTCATTTCCACGGAAGAGATCCAGAAATCCCGAACTCTGGCTCAGTCTACGCTCTTCAGCTACTCCACGGATCATCTCGGCCCATTCTAGTTCTAACTCGTCCCCATGGTCGAAACGAAGGCGCTCTAAGGATCTGCGCGCTGCGTCGTGCTGGTCGTGGTGCAAAAGCCATCGAGGGCTCTCGGGGACGAAGAAAAGTGCTGTGCCGAGCAGGACTGGAACAATGAACATGCAGGCGAGAGGGATCTGATACGAGAGTTTGGAAAGATAGCGTGAAGTGTAGTTGTCGATTACCGAGCCGATAATGCTTCCGAGGTTCACGTAGAACGAGAATAGACCGACCATGACTCTGCTTATTGTCAGTGACTCAGCGCAAGAAGGTGAACGCAAGAGACATGCTCCCTCAGATGCGCAGGCGCTGCTTCGCTACAATAAACTGTCGAAAATACGACGAAGAAGCCATTGGAAAAGCCTAAGAACAGACGACCGACGTAAAGACCTGTCTTAGACGTCGATCCAATTTGTAGTGATACTGCTCCTAAACAAATTATGCATGCAAGCCATAGTGCTTTCTTCCGACCGAAGTATGTACCAAAGACACCAGCGGCGATGGCAGATAGGCACGACCCGAGGTTTAACAAAGAGGTCATGAGTTGCTGGACCGTTGACTGCTCAGCGCGTCAGTCATATCCACGCAGCAGATTCATTATACCTGCGTCGATGCCATAGCCCAGTGGGCTTGCCGGTTCCTCGTATCCAAATACCATCAAGAATCCAGGCATAGCTTGAAGGGCACCAACTGCAGCAGTATCGATTCCATACTGCATACTGGCTATCGCGACAGCCGAGCATATAATCAGGCATTTTCGATTAGCCCATAAGGTTGTCTCCTGGAGTTTTGCCATTGTAGTCCATACACTGAGTGATAGCTACCTATTGAGAAGAAGAAATATCTGTAGCCTGAGGCAACAGAAGATGACCAGGCCAGGCCGTCCTGGTAGCTTCTGCAAGCCATATGAGCTGGCGTCGTGGGGCAATGAGGAGAAGTTCATATTGACTCCGCATTGGCAGGGGTGTTATGCGGAGATGTATGGAGATGCTCGGCGCCTTACCGTATCAAGCAGTGATCAACCCAGCAAATCGGGTATCTTGAGGGGAATCTCGCGTGCTTTGGCTCTGACACTTGCGCATCGCATGTCGCCGTTTTATTGTATAGGTACTGCTTGTAGTATAACCAAATCATTGCAATCCAGCCCAACACTACTGATAAAAGGTGCTGAAGGTGTACTTGGTCTCGCGTTCATACATGGCCAAGTCGTTCAGTGCTTGCTTGCCCTCCCGAAGGATCGTCTGCTTGATCTTTTCGTGTCTCGGTGTAAACTTGACTCGGAAAGGCTGGGGTTTCCAGTTGGACCCACTCCTATTAACGATCAGCAGCCTTCGATTGGTCTACCTATAAGCATTACTTACGAGTAGTTGAAGATGTCAACAGGCACTTCTTCCCCAGTATTCTCGTCCACTTCTGGTTCCACCTTGTATGCCCACACCAATCGTGCGACACTAAGATGTGTTCCCTGCTCCACTAGTGCTTGGCCTGCACAACTTCTTCTTCCCCACCCAAAAGTCATATATCCCTTCTCCCCAGGGAATGGTCTCTTGTCGTCCGTGTCCAAGAATCTTTGTGGATTGAAGCGGTCAGGATCTGGGAAATCGCGCTCATTGTGATGTATCGCCCAGACATTACCTTGCATCCAGGTTCCCTTCGGAATATAATAGCCGTTCCAATAGTCATCTTGAACAGGGGCGTGGGCAGTACCTCCGATGATCGCAACAGACCGCCAGCGGAAGACTTCTTTGGTGAAAGCGCGGAGGTATGGGAGGTCGTCGTTCAAGGTTGGACTGCGTGCCCGACCCGCGACACGGTCGAGTTCATCCCACGCATGATCGAGGGCCTCAGGAAATGCGCGCATAGCTAGTACAGCCGTAACAAGTGTGCTACTCGATGTGTCTGCTCCAGCACCGAGCAGGTTGGCGGCGAGATTGGAGATTTCGAGTGGATGAAGATTGTACTGAGGTGCTTCACGAAACAAATACTTCGCGTAATTCTCGCCTGAACTCTGGTTTGCCTCTTCTGCTAAAGCAAAGAAGAAGTCATGGCGGCCGAACTTGGGTTTGGTGGAACGCCGTGTACCACGCTTCCAAGGAGCAATACAGTCAGGGAATTTTGCAAGCCCTTTTGCTGTTAACGCTGGATTTCATTCGAGCCTCCGATACTTACATGGAAAAGTCTCCATCAAGCGTGGGAAGTCTTTGGCGACGACTGCCATCTGAGCAGAGTTTTGCATCTGAGCAATCACTTCAGTAATCAACGGATCTTGGCAGTCCGCGATGCGACGTCCGAAGCCGATAATCGACACAACACTTGTAGCGTATCTCTCGAAGTGTGACACAAATTTGTCCGGTGTGGTGAGCAAATCCTTCACTACTACCTTGTTCTCATCATCCTGAAGGCTGCGATAGTTTTGTACCTAAGTATTATGTCAGTTGGAAGCGTGCCATACCGCAACTTCAACTCACCCGCTGAATTCCAACGCCCTGGTGTGTAAGCTTCCGGAGGTCACGGAATCGCTCGCGCTGCTCTCTCGTGTACGTGTATTTATGCAGTAGATTGTTTTGACCACCCATCAACTCGGCGAACATCAACATTCGCGGCCGAGAGTTGTAGATATTGGCTCGCTTTACGAGAACTTCGTCGGCAGCCCACGCGTCGTTGATCCAGATCGTGGGCCTCCTGCAATGTGTTACTCACTGTCCACAACAGAAACTTTCCATGCAGACTGACCGCCCAATCCAGAACGTGATAAGCGGAGAGTTATAGTCCTTGGATACCTGCTCGATAAGGAACCAAGGCTTTTCCTCCGGTAGGCTGAATGTATTCCCAATGATTGGCCATGGCAATGGTCCTGGTGGCTGCCAGTGTATGAGTAATATTCTCTAGAGACATGGGGATAGGCAGAAGCGGGCGGTTACCATTCGCCGTCTCAAATAAAGCATGCGACTGTAATCCAATATGAGAGCAATCCACCCAAGGGTGAACAGACTAACAGCCCATAAGCCCATAGTCCCGAAATATGACCACTCTGCTGCTCTACTGGACCCCATCGTCGTAGTACGAGATGATGTGCTTAGTGTTCATTTCTTCCAGTGGTAGTGATGGAATATAAAGTCATAGGTTGACGCTTGGCTTTTTGTTTTCTATCCAGAATGCTGGAATCGTCCTCGAAGACCAGTATATTGTCATCCCCACATTACACTATGGTGGGGCAACCCAATCTGGCCATCTGACCGCAGATCGGATCCTCGAGGTGCATACCTAGGTCTTGTACATGTGTAATGCGTTGTGAACCATGTTGCTTTGTACTTGAAACTCAGAAACTTTGAATTTTACCAAGAGGGAAAAGGTCGTGGCTACGGGAAAGAGGCGGCATGCGGAGTGCGATCTTGGGAAAACAATCAATCCAGTATTTGTACGGAAAGAGACGACAACGAACGAAAACTGATTGAAATCTGGAAGTGAAATAGTGGATACGTATGATACCGCCGCTGTCGATACATTCAGTCCTCAATTGTGCTGAAGAAGGACATAGTCAATGACACGTACAGGCTTGGGCTATACGTTCGACCAACCCAAGGCATAGCGTTTGGTGCGATGCGGTCTGCAGCCCGAATAGTGTTGCTTACCAAAAGCTACGAAACGGTATTCGGGCGTCACTTTGTCAATTTCTAGAGGTTCAAAAATCTAGTTTAGGTTTGTCGTAGTGCAATGATGGTGAGGTTTTATGCTTTCGGAGATGACGTAAGGTGACCCGGCGGGTACATCTCCGTTACAAGTTAGCACTAATTCAGCTTCGTAAACACGGTCGGCCAGTGACGCGCCAGACGTGACACGATAGTATACATCGTTTGGACCATATATGAGCATGTCAAGAAAGCCTTTGACAGCTTTCGTATGACAAGAGCAAGAGCAACAGCCATCACGACCATGAGTTATGTCCAAACTCCCGACACTGCCCACTATGTTGTCAATGGCACCAATGGCGTAAAGCGTGAGTCCCCACCTGCAGCATGCGATGCAAGGCACAGTCCAACCCAGACGCTAACAATACCAGGCCGACGAGCGTCGACGGTTCTCAATCCGAGATCGCATGTCAAGCAGGAGCTTTGGAAGCAGGCGCCGATTCTCATCGGTAGTACTAACTTCGAACCACTCCCTGACGCGAAGAACATTTTGGTTACAGGTGGAGCCGGCTTTATGTACGTCGCGACGAGACCACGGGAAGTTGTGAGCTGTGCGTCTCTTGACTTTTGCTTGAACTAGACCGCGACTGACCAAGGAGCAGAGCTTGCTGGTTCGTGCGGCATGTGGTCCTTACATACCCACACTACAATGTCGTTTCCTTTGACAAGCTAGACTACTGCGCTGCGCTCAACAACACGCGAATCCTCGACGACCGACCAAATTTTGCGTTTGAACAAGGCGACATCACATCGCCCGCAGATGTCAAGCGTGTACTGCGCAAACACAAGATCGAAACCATCTTCCACTTCGCAGCACAATCGCACGTCGACCTCAGCTTTGGCAATTCGTACGAGTTCACAAACACGAATGTTTACGGTACACACGTCTTGCTCGAGCGAGCGAGGGAACATGGTGTCACCAGGTTTATACACATCTCCACAGACGAGGTGTATGGCGACGTTCCAATTGGAGCTGCAGATCTGGGCGAGACGAGCATACTGGCGCCCACGAATCCATACTCGGCGAGCAAGGCTGCAGCGGAGATGATGGTCAGCGCGTACAGGAGCAGCTTCAAGCTGCCACTGATCACTGTGCGGGCGAACAATGTGTATGGGCCGCATCAGTTCCCTGAGAGTAGGCACCTCTGTGAAGCTAGAGAAAACCCACGAAGCTGACTGATACAGAGATCATCCCAAAGTTTATCATGTTACTACAACGGAATCAGAAGCTCCTTCTGCACGGTGACGGATCACCCACACGACGCTACCTCTACGCGGGTGACATAGTGGATGCACTAGACACTATATTGCACAAGGGCCAGGTTGGTCAGATCTACAATATCGCCTCAAAGGACGAGATTTCGAATTCGGAAATCTGTAGCAGGCTGCTGGATGTTTTTGGGATCCCCCACGGCTCGCCTGCTGAGGTTTCCAAATGGGTAGAGTATACAGAGGATCGACCGTTTAATGATCAGCGCTATGCGACAGATGGATCAAAGCTGACCGCGTTGGGATGGGAACCCAAAACCAGTTTCGACGAAGGTCTGAAAGTTACGGTGGACTGGTATCGGCGGTTTGGCGAGGTATGGTGGGGGGACATCAGCCGGGTCTTGACGTCGTTCCCTGTGGTAGCAGGAAACGAGATATGGACCAAAGAGGAACATGAAGACCTGCCGTCCTCTGATGGGGAAGTAATGCATGAAGAAGACAGCGCAATCTGGACAACGTAGGTTTACTAACACTTCGCTGCGGACAGCAACTTGCTGCTCGTTGGCGTGAAACGCTTGTCGCACTTTGTATATATCGCGACGTTGCTATAGGATGTGGAAGAATGATACCCGGATTCAACGTACTGAAGTGAAGTCAGGAGTTTTAGTTTTTGTCGCTTTGCGCAGGAGATGTGAACGTGCTTCTGTGATATGCAGGGACCAGATTGATGTGGGCATGTGGGCCCGGAGATGCGCCAGCGTTGCGGACCTTGGTACCCAAAACGTGACAATACGATAGATCCGGCAAGCTTGAGAGATGAAAACGACAAACAAGTCTGTCTGAACGCTTGGTCAAGTCTGTAGTCGTACATCGACTCAGACTGGTGAGCTATTCCTGGCATCGCCTCAGCCACACGCGGTGGCGTACTCCACTCACTCCGCCTTCTCACTAGCGGCAGGTTGGGCGCTTGAAGTGATTGAAACACCAGACGCAGCAAAACATCGACTGCTCAAACACGATTTCTTCTGTCTGTGACATTCATATACCGCGACGTCGCCTCTTGGCCGTGTACATCCCTTCCGTCTCCCTTTTTCGGGTTCGCGTATACGATCAGAAAGGACGTCGAGTAAACTTTGACTAGGCCAATCGATAAGGCACCCCACAATTCCCTTGGTGCTTCCCGACCCGTCAGCTTTCACCGCACCGACCCCTAACACCGACGCATACACGACACGAATCTCCCGCCAAAACCCCTCGACAGACTCAACCCTCTACACATCAACCATGGGACTCTTCTCCAAGAAGAAGGACAAGGCTGGAACAGCTAGCCCAGCAGCCCAGAATCCATATGCGGCGCCTGTAGCCAAGGACCCGTACGCGCAGCCACCCCCATCCTACTCCCCTGGTGGTCAGGACACATCGTTTCGGCAGGAGAAGACGCCAGCCGTGACAGGCCCAGGCCAGAGCTACGGGCAGAATGCGGGTGGATACGGTGCCCAGGGAGGAAGCTACGGCGCGCAGTCAGGCTATGGAAACGACCGCTACGGCGGAGGTGCACCCCAGCGACCTGGCGGCTACGGAGGCCTTGGAAGGACCGCGTCCAACGACACCATGAGCACCGAAGCAGGCCGCAACGAGCTTTTCGGCAATGCACCCCAACGCCAGAAAGCGCAGCCGGCTCAACAGCCTAGCGCCCTTGGACAGAGCGGTGCCTATGGAAGCACCCCGAGCGGCGCATACGGCAATGCAGCTCCTGGTGGTTACGGATCCACACCCGGTGGCTATGGAACCTACGAAGACCGTCAATTGACGGCCGAGGAGCAAGAAGAGGAGGACATCGACGCCACAAAGCAAGAGATCAAGTTCATGAAGCAACAAGATGTTGCGAGTACGAGGAATGCTCTACGTCTTGCTGAGCAGGCCTTGGAAACTGGTCGCGGGACCCTGGGGACCCTAGCGGCCCAAGGAGAGCGTATTCACAAGTGAGTCTGGCCCGACCTGACCATGAGCATGCACAGCTGACCAGTCGCTAGCACTGAACGCAATCTCGACCTTGCCTCCATCCAGAGCGACAGGGCTAATGGCCAAACCAAGGAACTGGCTCGTGAGTACCTACCCTACGTTATCAATAACCGTCTTGACTAAAGCGTCGCCAGGCATCAATGCAAGCATGTTCTCCATCGTCCCGAACCCCTTCACAGGCAACTCCAAGCGCGAGAAGCAAATGCAACAGGCCATGGACCAGCACGCGCGCGATCGCGAGACCCGTGAAGCCACCAACCGCGCCAAGTGGGAGTCTGGAGCTCGCGCCAACGAAGCACAGCGCCAGCTACAACAGGGAGGTGGCCCAGTGGGCAACAACAAGAGCTCGCTTGCCGCGCGCTCCAAGTTCCAGTTCGAGGCCGACGAGGAAGATGATGCCATGGAGAATGAGATCGATAGCAACTTGGGTATGTCTTTCCCGTTCATCGTCCTATACCAGAATTCTCTGCCGTTATGATCGGCTGTGATCGCGCATATACTGACTATCCTATGAACAGATGCACTCCACGGCATGGCCAAGAACCTCAACCACCTTGGTAGAGCAATGGGCGAGGAGGTCGACAAGCAAAATACCCACATCACACGCATCACTGGCAAGACGGACCAGGTTGATGACAAGATTGCCAGGAACAGGCTCAAGTTGGATCGCATCCACTAGGTTTGTTTCTTTCGTGTAGTAGTGAGCAAAGTGAGTGCCCCCTAGGACAGCCGAACTGTCTTTCTGAGAATCACGGTATAATGCAAGGTGAACGCCTCGCCATTGATACATAATGGTTGGGATACGGCATTATTGGCGTTTTGGATACAATGGATTGTATTTCACGTTCACTTGGAATATTATGCTGGCTGTCGGTACTACGACACGAAGTGTTCATGTTTGATGCTCAACTATGTATACTGAGACGCTGAAAGTTCCCCAAAAACCTTGACTCCACATAGCTGAAGGAAAGTCCGTATGCAGACCATTTTTGGTTATTACCCGT